GGCAAAAGTAAAATCTAACACCCTTCAAAGGACAAGTGTTAATTTGAATGTTTATTTGTGTTTATTGTGGTTCTGTTTGATGCATTCTTGTGTTGTTAGCTTTCTTAAAAGAATGTGATTCTTAAACATTTTCTTTCAAAGACAACACAGCAATTCAGAGTAACTCACAAATACCAACTTTACTTGTCTCTGCAACATTTTTGTATACCATGCAAGATGTCCACTAGCTTGCTTTGGGACATTTTCAGGATTATTGAATGCTAATTTAGCTTTCAATATTTATTAATATTGATTTGACTTCATCTAAAAACAAACAACAACAAAATACTTCTAGAGCCTTTTAAAGGCTAGTCTGCCTAAAAGAGGTCCAGGCTGATTTGATTATTGGTTTTGTGCACACGATATTGTACAAAGAGAACTTGAGCACGGGGGACCCCCGTACCCGTCACTCTTGAGATCGAGCAAGTCAAAGGCAATCAAGAGAACTTTAGCTTGGTATTCTTAGGTGCAAAAAAAAACCCTTATGTTTATTTAAAATAATAATACATTACAAATGTAAATTGCTAAATCATATAATGAAATAAATGATACCAAATATTACTCCATTTTCAACCCAAACCTAGTTAGTATTTACTTTAGTTCTGGTGTGAATTTTGACAGTGTTTTCTCTAAAACATAGATATTTATCACTTTCCTTAAAAACCTATAATGTTTTTCCTTCCTCCATCCTCCTTTAATAACAGCAGGTGTTTCTAACTGTGTGGACAAGGCAAAAGTAAATCTAACACCCCTTCAAAGGACAATGTTTATTTGAATGTTATTGTATTTATTAATTTATTATATTTATTATTACTATGTATTTATTATGGTTCTGATTGATGTATTCTTCGTGTTTGCAGCTCTTTTTAAAAGAATGTGGTTCTTAAACATTTTCTTTCAAAGACAACACAGCAATTCAGAGTAACTCACAAATCAAACTTACTTGTCTCTGCAACTTTTTTGTATACCATGCAAATGTCCAATAGCTTTCCTTTGAGACATTTTCAGGATTATTGAAAGCTGATATATATTCTGCTTTCAATGTTTATTAATATTTATTTTATTTCCCCAAACCTCCCTCTCTGTCTCTTTTTTTCTTTCTTTGGGTTTTCTAATTTAGTGTTACCAACAACTCATTATGGATATTAATTTCAATTAACTTAAATGCCATTTCATAAGGCCTAATCCTTCTGTCTTTGAGAGAAGACCTGACAGCTGTGTATATATTGATGCTACTTAGATACCAGACATCATGCTGTGTGTTACTAAAGGTGACTACACAGGTTGCTCTATTTTTTAAAGTTACTTAGGTCTATTTTACTTCATCCGTAAAAAACATCTAAAAGTGCTTTTAGGCCTTTTTAAGGTTAAGTCTACTTAAAAGATGGTCCCATGCTTATTTGATTATTGTTTTGTGCACACAGATATTGTACAGAGAGAACTTGAGCACGGGGACTCCCGTACCCGTCACTCCTGAGATCGAGCGAGTCAAACGCACTCAAGAGAACTTTAGCTCGGTATTTGGGAGAAAGCTCTTTAATTCCATATTAAAAATAATAATTTCTCTCAAATGAAATTTTGCACTATTCAGTCCCTTTACAATAATCATTTAACAAAATTTTTTTTTTTAATCTTACCAACTGGATCCTTCTAATTTCAGATCTCCTACTTACCATGTGATTCTAATGTTTTACTTTCTGTAACAGTCCATGAATTTTTAATTGGTTTCTTTCCTTTTCTTTCACCTTAATGCTACTGCTGGGTCTTTTGAATTAACTGATTTCCAAAAAAAAGAAAACTGAACACCGAAGCTCTTATTTACTTGGAGCACTTTGATCTTTCTGGGTTAGCTGTTCTAAGAAAAAATACTGAATTCCAAGCCACATGTAGAAACAGTGGCTCTTGCTTGGTAGCAGGGGTTACCTTAAACACAGATTGTATTCAAGTAAACAGGAGCATGGAGAAAGAACATTGCTCAACATTGGGACCAAAGCAATCTTATTTAATACTTTAAATAAGCTATTTCATGAATAGAAATCGAAGACTTCTGACTTTTTTAAAATACGTGTATCAGATCATGAGTTTATATTTAATGTTATTTTCTCTTTTATTAATATTGTTGCTGAGGCGGCCGCGGGCTCACGCCTGTAATCCTAGCACTCTGGAGAGCCACGGCAGGTGGATCGCTCGGAGTCAGGAGTTCAGAACCAGCCTGAGCAAGAGCGAGACCCGCGTCTCTACTATAAATAAGAAATTAATTGGCCAACTAATTATATATATATATATCATAATATTATATATATATATATATGAAATTACCAGGCATGGTGGCACGTGCCTATAATTCCAGCTACTCGGCAAGCTGAGGCAGTAGGATTGCTTGAGCCCAGGAGTTTGAAGTTGCTGTGAGCTAGGCTAATGCCACGGCACTCTAGCCTGGGCAACAAACAAAGTGAGCTCTCCTCTCAAAAAAAAAAAAAAAACAATATTGTTGCTGAAAACTCTATAATACACAAATAGTCTGTGAAACTTGTATGTAAGGATCTTAGGTCATTTATGCCTGAGATGGAGAATCAAATGTCATTAGAAAATTTTAGCTGATTTTTTGGAGGGTGGGGAACAGAATTAATCCAAAATACTTTTAATTGTCAGTTTAAATATTTTCTAAACGTTTGATTCTTTCACATATAATAGTTCAGTATTTCTTTGGTCCCACTTGCTTTTGTTTCGTTGTTTTTAATTACTATTCACTAACAATTCTTCAATTTTGTTATTTTTCAATGTAAGTTAATATGTCTTTTGGAATGTTATATTCATTGCTTTCCTTGTGGGATTATTATTCTTATTATTTCTTTATGAAAGGCTTCCAACAATTTTTTAAATTATTTTCTTATATATTAGAATAAGTATATTATTGTTTGTATCTACTTGAAACCTTAATGATCTTCATGGTCTTGGACAACTTCATTTGTGTTCATGTTTACGTAGGTTGCATTTAGGCAAAATTGTCCAGTGGTGCAAAGACCCTTTAGATACAGTGGAAAATAAAGATAAAAAATGCCATGTATTGGGCCGGGCGCCTGTGGCTCACGCCTGTAATCCTAGCTCTTGGGGGCCGAGGCGGGCGGATTGCTCAAGGTCAGGAGTTCAAAACCAGCCTGAGCAAGAGCGAGACCCCGTCTCTACTATAAATAAGAAAGAATTAATTGGCCAACTGATATATATATAAAAAATTAGCCGGGCATAGTGGCGCATGCCTGTAGTCCCAGCTACTCGGGAGGCTGAGCAGAAGGATCGCTTGAGCCCAGGAGTTTGAGGTGGCTGTGAGGCTAGGCTGAGCGCCACGGCACTCACTGTAGCCTGGACAACAAAGCGAGACTCTGTCTCAAAAAAAAAAAAAAAAAAAAAAAAAAAAAAAAAAAAAAATGCCATGTATTAAATATCAACTTTTAGACTTGACTATCTCTAACAACTTGAACTTATTAAAAAAAACACTTTTGCTATATTGTATAGATTTGGTCTGAGGTTTTAAACATCTGTTATACTGTAAGACAAACATTCTGTGTAGGAAAATAAATATTGCTAATCTAATTTAAAAATAATTTTTTCTATAGTACACTGAACATTTTAGTGCTGGTAAATAATTTATATTTTTTCCCTTAAATCCTAACATAGGAAATAAACACTTATATTTAATTTTAGAGGAAAAAGATGAACATCAAATACACTGACACATCAGCTAAAGAAATATAAAACATATTCTCATCCAGATCTGTACCTGCATGGAAAGGTTGACCTGGTGAATTTGTCTTTCCTGTTTGATGTCTATAGTCTCATGCTAGGTTCCCTACAAGATAAATGAAAGGGCTGTTTTGACTGCTCTTGTTTTTTCTGGATGCTTTCTTGTGTCATACAGGTGTTGTATAAAGAAAACGTTGGAAAAGGGATTCCAATCCCCATCACTCCAGAGATGGAGAGAGTCAAACACAATCAAGAAAACTTTAGTTCGGTATTTACAAAAAAAAATTCCCTGTATTTTAAAAATGTCTTAAAAAGATTAATGGCTAGGTTTTTAAAAATCTAATCAACTTACCCCATAAAAAAATTTGACTCGTGTTGTTCCCAACTTAATGCTGCCATTTTCTATGAATTGGTTTCCCTGTTTTGGTTAAATATTAATATAATCATCTGACTTAATTTTAAAAAGTGTCCCAATATTATATTCCAGCTTTTAAAAACATAACATTCCCAGTGTCTAAGCATCTACATTATCCTGCTTTGGCAAATTTGATCTGAACCTAGAGCTTAAAAAATTTATTGTGCAAAGATCCTATTGTTGGCCTCATTTCCTATTTTAACCTTCTCTGTCTCTACTGGAATTTGTATAGATATTTTGAAGTTTCTCCTTTTTTAGCATCTTGTCATTGCTCTCCATTTGCCTTAAACATAATTCTTCCCAATATGTTCACCCAAGCTAAAAATTAAATACTTCGACTTCTTTTGAAAGTGAACAAAAGAAGATTTGTATGTATGTATCTTTATATATAAAGTGTTTGTAAAACCCAGATATCCTTACGTGCTGCATTAATAGCATTTTCAAATCAAAAATAACTTCCTTCGTTTTGTTTCTGTCTCTTGTCTGTTTCTATATTTTTCCCTCCTCGTAACAAGCTGGGGAAGACTAACTTTCCCTTCATTGCTCAGTGCTGCAGAGATGAGTAGGAGCAACAAAGATAACAACACTTTCTTTTCATATTTCTTAGTTTTAGCTGCTCTTTCCTGCATTCCTTTGTTTTTGAAGATGTCTTTAGGCTCACACAGGTTGAGTCTAAAAATTTGGTGCTTCCCTTCTTCTAACTCATTCTCTTCTTCCCTCTCCTCCTACTCCCAACTGCACCAAGGCAGAGGAAAAGCCATTGATTGTTCTCTTTCTTTGTTCTGGATGCTTTCTTATCACACAGGTGCTATACAAAGAAAACCTGGGGACAGGAATTCCAATCCCCATCACTCCTGAGATGCAGAGAGTCAAACACAATCAAGAAAACCTTAGCTCGGTATTTTGGGGGAAAAAAAAAAAAAAGATGCCGCCTGACCTTAGGCTTAAACTGATCCTTAACATTTATTCTTTTTTTTACCCACTTCCCTTCCTTTGCTTGTAATGTATATTAGCAAAGAAATACACTTTCTAATTTCTATAATAGTTAATTTTGATTTTTCACTTCATCTGATATTTATTAATATAAACATTTAAGAAGGGTAGTGAGTCTTTAATTTGTGTGGATAACAGCAAACCGAGTTCTAACAATCTCAAATCCCCACGTGATCGTGTAGGAGGCACCGTGCTCATAGAAATGAAAAAATTAACATGGTGACTCTGACCGCCCTTCCCCGGCAGCTGAGGTCCTTGCTTCCCTTGGGGACAGCGTCCCCATCCCAATAACGGCTTCTATTAAAGTGTTACACACAGTATGTGGCATCTTGTCAGCTGTAACTTCTGTCTCCTTGGACTACTGTTATTCTGTAACAAGGAAGTTGACCTCACCCTTAAAAACCTCCCTACAAATGGAATGTTCCTTACGGTTGTTTTTTTTTTTTCTGGATCCTTTCTCGTCACACAGGTGTTATACAAGGAAAACATGGGCAAGGGAACCCCTTTACCTGTCACTCCAGAGATGGAGAGAGTCAAACACAATCAAGAAAATATTAGCTCGGTACTTTGGCAAGAAAAGAAATAAAAACTACTTCTTTAATGATTTCAAAAAAACTACTTTCATGATTTAAAATAATACATATTAATCCTACTTTTAAGAGACAACTTAAATTTTGTGAATTTCTTTACCACATTGATCCGTCTTTCCTTTGGGCTACTCCGAGCCTAACCCCATGATAACGATATTGCTTTAATCCATAATTTAAACTTCTAATATCAAGAAGTAACAGATTTTCCTATAAAACATCCTTTTGCTTAACTGTCCCCAAACTTACTCTCTGTCCACTACCCCCAAGGTCTCTTTGTTTTAGGTACTCTTGAAATTTGGGTGGGGATGGGTGGGGAGGTACTTTTTCTTGAATATTGGAAGAGTGATTTTGTTGTGTTTTCTTTTTGGAGGCAGAGTCTTGCTTTGTCGCCCCGGCTAGAGTGCAGTGGCGTCATCACACCTCACTGTGCCCTCAAACCCCTGGGCTCAAGCGATCCTCCTGCTTCAGCCTCCTCCGTAGCTGGAGCTACAGGCACACGCCACCATAACTGGCTAATTTTTTCTATTTTTAGTAGACACAGAGGTCTGGTTCTTGCTCAGGCTGGTCTCAAACACCTGAGCTCACCTCCTGGAGTGCTAGGATTACAGGCATAAGCCACCATACCTGGCCTGTTGTGTTTTCATGTTGATGACTTCAGGTTCTAATTTACTCTGTCAGATTTGGACAAAGAGACCTTGGGAAAAATAATCCCTGATCCTCTCCTTCAAGGATAGTGATTTACATTATGATCCAGTGGTGGTTTGGGCAATTGATTGTCAATTTACTTAAAAAAGAAAGTGTCACCAGAACAGGTTTTTGGTTTTCCCAGTATTTTTTTTTTTAATGATTGTTTTTCTTTTGTTTTACCATGGTCTTTAACTGCTAACTATAGTAAATAGTAAACCATTTCCAGTAAGTTTGTGCTCTATGACATTATATATGTTTATACGTTACTGGGGATTGAGGTTTGTGTGGGGACTTCAGCTTTCAGTGGTGAACAGCCTTGTGGCCCTCCACCTTTACACTGTCTGCAGGTTTATCCAACACTTGAGCGCAGTGCTTCTAGAACATTAGCATCACAATCACCTGGAAAAGTTTGGGCAGAGGGATTGCTTTGTCCTGCCCCCATAGTTTCTTATTCTGTAGGTCTGGTACAGGGCCAGAGAATTTGCATTGCTAACAAGTTCTCAGGTGACCTTGCTGTCCCAGGGACCCCACTTTGAGAACCACCGCCTTAACAGAATTCTTCCTTTTGAATGCCCTTTCCTAAATGTCCTGTGTTTCCAAGAATGACACTGAGGGGAGACATGGGGGTTGAGGATTTATCATGCTATTTCCTGTTCCTGTTTCCTACTGATTTACCACAATGGTGATACACGTGCCAAAAACATTTTTCCTGACTGATAAAGCTTGACGTTGTACTAAACTAATGCAAGAGGCAGAGCACAGAGGACGATAAGCAAAAAGGAGTAGGGAAACCCTCTGCCTTGTCTGAGTGCCTACAATTTTACCGGTATGTCTATGAGAGCTTAAGTGCTACAAAAAGGTCCTGTCACCAGCTGCTACGTTGGGAGCAGCCTCAGCCTTCTCAGTGTGATTCAAGCCCGTGCCTGTAACGCCTGTTCAGTTATCTGTCAGGGGCTTGACATTCATAGACTAGCAATAAAATGATGGTGGTCTCTCATCCTTTGGGGAACACCGCAGTTCTCTCTTGCAGTCTGCCAGGGTTTCAGGGCAGGGTCCTAGCCTGCAAATGTGTGTCTTGCTCTAACTATGCTCAACTCCCTTTGGAAACATACTGCTTTCCATCTAACCTTATCGCCCAAACGGTTGAGTACCCTGAACGTCATCCAAAGTTTTCTGTCGTTCCATTTCCTCTTTTGGTAACTGTAACTCTTTTCTTCTTCTTCTTCTTCTTCTTCTTTTTGGCTTTTTGGACCCGTTGGACTCGCATAGGTTTTGTACAAGGAAAATGTGGGGAAAGCCACCCCCACCCCTGTCACTCCAGAGATGCAGAGAGTCAAACGCAATCAAGAAAACATTAGCTCGGTATTGTCTTGAGAAACAAAAGTGCTTTTCATTTTGCAAAGTAACCCCTGCAGTTTGGCCTGCTCCTAACCCCATCCCAGGCTAAAAACAAACAAAATGCCAGTTACATCTGCATCTAAATATCATACTACGTGTACTTTTGCCATTAGCTACTTTTTAAGCTTTCTTCTTGAGAGCTGATCTCACTAATAATAGTAATAGATTAAACCTAGCCTTTTCCCCCCAAATTGCATTATATATAATGGTATATATTGCTTCCTAGTGACTTTCGGGTACCACTTTGTATCTCACAGGTGTTATACAAAGAGAACCTGGGGAAAGCAACCCCCACACCCCTTACTCCTGAGATGGAAAGAGTCAAACGCAATCAAGAAAACTTTAGCTCGGTATTTCAGAGAGGAAAAATAAATCGTTAAAATTGTAACGAGACTGGCAAACATGGTTATACCACTAATTTATCTCACAATATTTCCAAAACTTTTGTGTCTCTTTTAAAATTCTTCCTTGTCCACTTAAAAACAACAACCCAACCCCACCAACTCACACTGATTTTTACTTCTTTCTTAATCTTGTGCTTTGTACCGTAACATTTTAATGGCTTTCTCTTCCTGAGGTGTTCCTTATAGAGTGTGATATAATTGAGCCATAACACCAGCTAAATGATGATTTTACTGAACTGATTTTCTGCTCTCTTATGCCTGGATGCTCTTTTGGCTCCCCTAGGTATTGTACAAAGAGAATATGAGAAAAGCAACTCCGACACCTGTTACTCCAGAGATGGAGAGAGCTAAGCGCAACCAGGAAAACATTAGCTCGGTATCTTCTAGGATTAAAAAGGAGTAGTGTAACATCTTGGAAAATAACATTTTAACATCATAAAAACATGTCTTTCTTATTCAACTGAAAAACACACTAAAATTTAAAAAGAGAAATGCAACATCTTGGAAAATAACATTTTAACACCATAAAAATATGCATTTTCTTATTCAACTGAAAATTTACACTAAAATTGACATAACTATGCTTTTAAATTCCAAATGATCATACTAAACATAACAAGTTAATTGCCCATGTTTTCTCTCCCCTTTTACTTTACTCGAGGTAGTTTTATATAACCAACTATAACAAATTTACTTCCTAACATCCTCAATCTTTTGCTCTTTACGATATTTTATGAAACTGATAATACTCTGAAATAGATGTCTTCTTTGGCTTTGATGTTTTGGGTTTTTAATGTCTGGAGGACTTTGATTTCTATGTTAGCATACTGGCTTATGAAATCTGGACTTAACCTAAGAAAACGATCACTTGTTTTAAAAGATGGTCCTTTCAAATTCCCTTCAGTATCAAATTTGGTGCCAAATCCCATCAAATATGCTGGTGCTGGTGTTATAATTCCTAGCAGATCCAAGAGGCCATTTTCTTTCTTTTCCTCTCAAAATTATATGATGCCCTTTATCTTTTGAAAATGAACGTTTTCAAGTAGCCTTTGAAAATGAAAGTTTCATTTTCAAAGTCAAAATGAGTCTTTTCTGCTTTGAGCCCTCCTGGTCCTCAGGCCTGTCCTACTGTTGGCCATGTGTCTCTCTGGGTCTTTCAGCTGGCCCAAGCCTCACTCTCCAGCTCCTTCAACCTCCACCTGTTGGAAAGGCTTTGAGGCTTCAGAATTAGGACAGCACCATAACCAGTACTCATTCACGGTCTCTCCTCGATCAGGTTCTTTATTCTGATAGCTTCCGGAAACAAATACAAGGCAAAGCTGCCTATGTGTTGGATACCCCCGAGATGAGACGAGTGAGGGAGACTCAACGGCACATCTCAACGGTGAGTTGGGAAATTTTCTAGAATTGGTTGGCCAGCCCACTGGAACAGGTACAAAGGGAAATGGTCACATCATCATATTTTCATAAATTGAATTCATTACATTTCAGGTAAAGTATCATGAGGACTTTGAGAAACACAAGGGGTGCTTCACACCAGTGGTGACGGATCCTATCACTGAAAGAGTAAAGAAGAACACGCAGGACTTCAGTGACATTAACTACCGAGGTATTCAAAGGAAAGTGGTAGAAATGGAACAAAAACGGAATGACCAGGATCAGGAAATTATCACAGGTAAATTGAGCCCGGGTACATGAGTAGGTTGGGGGGAATCAACTTTGAGGAGAGTAGAACAAAAGTGACATTATCTACATCAACTCCAAGCATAAAGGACCTCAATCTGTTTTCAATAAGTGTGCGAGAAAGCCTCTATTTATCTCATAGCTTGCAAAACTGACATTTCTTTCACCTTATCTTTGTTCTCCTCTGAGCAGAAGACATAACCCAAAGCTGAATAAGAGTGATTTGATCCTCTGTGGTTGTTTAAATTGATGCCTTGATTTTCAATTTATTGGAAAAATCCAAGAATGCCTGTTCTGATCATTGGTTTCCCTTTCAGGTTTACGTGTCTGGCGTACTAATCCTGGTTCAGTTTTTGACTATGATCCAGCAGAAGACAACATTCAATCCCGAAGCTTACACAAGATTAATGGTGTGTTATGCTGCAAAAGGCTTACCGCATACACATCACTATTTAGTGGGCTAGAGTCAATGACTTTTAGGCTCCAAAGTTCTTTCCCTCCAGGATGTTCAATTTTCTGAGTTGTCCATTCAGCATGGGAAAAAAAAAAAAACTCAACTAGTAGGCCAAACTCATTTTCTAGACAAGTTCAAGTTAGGAAAAGAGTTTGTTTCATTGCCTCTGTGTATGTCTCCTTCAGGTCCTGTTATTGTCATTTCTTTTTTTTCCCCCTAAAGAAAAAAAGGTAGTAAATCTTTCTATCGGAGCAATAATGAAAATAAAATACATAGGCAAAGAGAAGAAGATGAATTCGACCTTTAGGAACTTTCTGAGTTCTCTTGCATCAAGGATAATCATTCATTCAATAAAATAGTCTGCATGTCTTTATGCCTTCTATGCATGTAAAAAGTAGAATAATATGTAATGTCAGACCTTAAAGGATTTACACTCTAGTGTACAGATGAAGAGAGACAAGTAAATCCCACGCAATTTTAAAGGTCTGCCCACAGTATTGTGGGAATACAGAGAAAGAGTATCTAAATTAATTTGGAAATTAGGGAGGACTTTCTGGAAAACTTGGAGATAGAGTTTGAATGTGAATATTACTATCTATTCATTTTGGTGAGCTAGGAAAATGGGCAGGATAAAGGAAAGGAGTGGTAGTTACGGCCAGACTCTTGGATTTGAAACCTGGCTGTGTCACTTAACTGTTACTTATTTAGGCTCTCTTCTGTAATGTCAGGATGACAACCATACAAGAGGAGAGGTGTGAGGGTCTAATTCACAGAAAACTACTTAAAACTATGCTTGGGGAAAAATAACAATCACAGAGATTCCATTACTGTTAGGCATTACTGCCATAGAAATTTCACCTCTGCTACATCTCTCCCAATCACATCTCTTCCAGTCCAAGCTCAGCGAAAGGGCCGAGACCAGTCACGATCTGCCAGCGCTCTGAGCATCAGTGGGGGTGAAGAGAAGTCTGAGCATTCGGACCACCACCTCTCCACCTATAGCGACGGAGGCATCTTCTTCTCTGCAACCTCATCAGGTACAAGCAGATGGCACTGACTTTGGCAGTCACGGCCAGCTAGCTTACTGACAGTTAGTTAAAACAGATGCTTTGAGTAAAAAAAATTCAATTTTTTTTGGATTCTTTCTTTTAAAGAGAAAAAGACTAGAATTGTGGAGGGTCATATAAAGTTAGATGCTTCATTTGCATTAATTTTATTAGATCCTCCCTTCTTGCAAATCATTCTTTCTAAGTTGGGGAAAAAGAAAACACTGCTCAGCTGCTAAACACAGCTAAATGATATCTAGCCATGATTTCTTCTTCTAAACCATTTCCTCTTTCTTTTCAGCTTATAAACATGCAAAAACTACAGAACTCCCACAGCAACGATCATCTTCAGTTGCTACCCAACAGACAACGGTATCCTCTATCCCATCTCATCCATCTACTGCTGGAGTAAGTAAATAATAAAGAACTCACTCAAATCGTTCTTATTTTTTAATATGTGCAAAAACAATTACAGCTATTCTGGTCTTTTTTTTTAACCAACTCTTCTATTTTATATAATGCTCTTTTACTATACATCTCATATTAATGTTAATCACAAAACATTCATTACCAAATCTAAAACAATGAAAACCCATTATTCAATGATTAAAAAAAAAAAAAACTAGAGCAAAACATTGGTTTTGGCTCATTGGTCTCACACGATCTTAAACTAAACATGTGCCACTGAAATCATTCTTTAAGAACGGATACACGGGCACTAGAGCCACTTCCGCAATAAGGCTACGCGCCCTGACGTGAGGCGCACAGAAATGACGTAACCGGAAGCATCTGGACAGTTATTTCGTTCCGTGCTTCCGGAGTCTTCCTTTAATCTTCGATTTGGGGCCCTATTGATAAGAAGAGCTACTGAAAAGGTCGTAACACTACAGTTCTGAAGAAAGAACCGCTAAGTAATAGAGAAATGCCTCCTCTTGACACAGACGTAGTGGTGCAAACGGAAGAGGTAGAAAGGGTCGAGACTCGTATAATACAGAGTCTTAAAGACCTACGCACGATGATAAAGAGGGTAATGTCAGAGCGCCTGGTAAGTATCAGGGAGTTGAGAGGGTTAACAGAAACGTGCAGGCTGGATTGGCCACAAAATCAAATTACTGAAGTAAATGCAAAACAAGACGAAGTCTCACAGAACTCAGAGAAAAGGGGAAAAGAAATTAAGATGAGTAGAGAGGAGAAAACGAGAGATCTAGAGGGCCGGTCCAGAAGATACAATCTACGCATAATAGGACTACCCGAAACAGAGGACAAAGCAAATGGAACTGAAAGAATAATTAAGGAACTAATTGAAGAAAATTTTCCAGCATTGAAGAATGAACTAGATCTACAAGTAGAAACGGCTCACAGGGTACCTTTTTAAAATGTAATGAAAAGAAAGCAACACCTAGACATATCCTGATGACATTTTTAAATTACAAGGGTAAAAGATAAAATTTTGCAAACATCCAGACAGAGAAAGCAGGTTACCTATAAAGGGACAAAAGTCAGGCTGACCTCAGATTTTGTTCTTGCAACTCTAAATGCCAGAAGACAATGGAACAATATCTACAGAGTTTTAAGGGAAAATAATTTTCAGCCAAGTTTTATATACCCTGCCAAATTATCATTTCTGTACGAAGACAACTGGAAGACGTTCTCAGATATGCAGGGGTTAAAAAAGTGTATCAACCAAGAACCTTCCTTGAGAATTTTGCTTTATGATTTACTGCAGCCAAGAAAGAGCCAGAATTAAAATAACTCAAGTAGGGAGCCAGTTGTTTGGAAGAATTAATGGTAAACACTAAAACTAGTTAAGGAACATTAAGTTTAAATTGTTATATATAGAGTATTAAAACTAAATACAAAAATAGAAATGTTGGCCAGTCGCAGTGCCTCACGCCTGTAATCCTAGTACTCTGGGAGGCCGAGGCAGGCAGATCGCTCAAGGTCAGGAGTTCAAAACCAGCCTGAGCAAGAGCGAGACCCTATCTCTACTAAAAATAAGAAATTAATTTGCCATCTAAAAATATATAGAAAAAATTAGCCAGGCATGGTGGCACATGCCTGTAGTCCCAGCTACTCGGGAGGCTGAGGCAGAAGGATCGCTTGAGCCCAGGAATTTGAGGTTGCTGTGAGCAAGGCTAACGCCACAGCACTCTAGCCAGGGCAACCACGTGAGACTCTGGCTCAAAAACAACAACAACAAAATAGAAATGTAACCTGGGTCTAAAATTTTAGTTTACATAGATTTAAACTGTGAAAAGGCATGCCAGATGTTCAATATATTGGTATATTGGACAAGTAAATACTGTTTTATTTTTAGCATGTAGTATTGTAGATAAAGATATGCATGTTCTTGAGCTAAATGTAAGTAAAATGAAAGGGTTTTGTCCCTGTAGACTGGACAGATAGAATAAAAGCATTCTAACTGTAATCTGTCAAAATGTAATTGGAAAACAGTACAGGCTTTTCCCCCTTGTTTTTAATTATAAGGGGGGAAAAAGTAGCAAGTTTTCCATAATGTTAATATTAGTTGGGGGCAGTGTAGATAAAACCTTGTAGTATGTACATGTTGCATGGGGAAAAACAATAGTTACTGCATCAGATAGTAGTTCACGTAAGTAAATTTGACATTAAAATAAGTGTTAGGGACAAAAATAGCATATATATATATATTTCATTTTTTTGGATTACAAAGGAAATGGTAAGAAAACAAGAAAACAGCAAAAGAAAACAGTAAGGAAGCATCAAAATTAGCATATAATAGATTGAAAAATGTACAGATGAATTATATTCATAAACTGGTTAAATATTCCTGTTAAAAAATTGAAATTGGGTAAAAAAGTAGGTAACTTGGGATAACCACATTTGTATAAAACAAAGGATAAAAGGATTTAAAGATAATAGAAACTATAGGTCATAGAAATGGAAATAGAGAGCAACATTTTTTCTTGGACAGAGTCTAAGCATATCACATAATGTTTTGTATAAAACATACAATACAGGATGTAACATTCAAGAGCCTTTATGTGATAAATAACATGGCATTCATATGTAAAATAAATATGCCATATCTTGATGTGGGTTGTAGTTTTATGTAAATCAGTAGACATGTATTTTAAAACATGTACATGTAAAATTGGTAAATTTTATGTAATTAAAATTCATTGAGTAATCCTTCAAATAAAGAGAATATATATAGCAAAAAAAGAAAAAAAAATGTATATACAGGCCAGGTGCAGTGGCTCATACCTGTAATTCCAGTACTTTGGAAGGCTGAGGTGGGAGAATTGATTGAGCCCAGCCTGGGCACCATAGCAAGATCCTGTCTGTACAAAAAAATTTAAAAATTAGGTAGGCATAGTGGCCCAACTATCAGGAGGCTGAGGCAGGAAGATCACTTGAGCCCAGTGAGCCCAGGAGTTCAAGGGTGCAGTGAGTTATGTTTGTGCCACTGCACTCCCGCCTGGGCAACAGAGTGAGACCCTGTCTCTGAAGAAAAAAAAGGAAAAAAGAAAAAAAAAGAAAGTGCGCACACATACACATGCCATATCTTAGATCTCCCCTATTAATATATATTGAAAAAGGAAGCCAAATCATGTTCACAACTCATGAGGCTACTTGGTGGCTCACACCCATAATCCTAGCACTTTGGGAGGCCAAGGCAGGAGGATTGCATGAAGTCAGGAGTTCAAGACCAACCTGAGCAATAGTGATACCCTGTCTCAGCTAAAAATAGAAAAACTAGCTGGGCATCATGGTGTGCGCCTATAGTCCCAGCTAATTGGGAGGGTGAGGCAAGAGGACCACTTGAGCCCAAAATGGCTGCACCATTTTACATTCCTACCAGCAGTTGATGGCAGATCTAATTTTTCCACATCCTTTCTAACACCTGTTATTGTCTGTATTTGTTTACCACCATTCTGGCATGTGCAAAATGGACCTCATTGTGGTTTTGATTTGCATTCTCCTCACGACTAATGATGTTGAGTATCTTTTCATGTGCTTATTGGGTGGCTATTTGTATATCTTCTTTGAAGAACTATCTATTCATCCGTTGCCTTTTTTGGGGGGTGTTGAGTTGTAGGAGTTCTTTATATATTCCAGTTATTAATTCCTTATCATATATATGATTTACAAATAGTTTCTCCTATTTTGTGGGTTCTTTTTACTTTCTTGGTGGTAGTTATATATTCTCTTTTGTGCAACTTAGGTTTATAGAGTAAGTCATGAGGAGGGATCTTGCAATTGAGTGTTTTTGAGTTAATTGTTGCAAATCCAATATATAATGTTTTTCCCCCTTTTCCATCCTCATGAATAGAAAATCTTCCGTGCCATGTACGACTATATGGCTGCAGATGCCGATGAGGTGTCCTTCAAAGATGGAGATGCTATCATAAACGTCCAGGCTATTGACGAAGGCTGGATGTACGGCACCGTGCAGAGGACTGGCAGGACCGGCATGCTCCCAGCCAACTACGTTGAAGCTATTTAGGCATTTTGGAGCATCACACCTGTGTGCAGGACCTACAGATCCTGAAACTGATATTTCAGTTTAGACTCTGCACTCTTGCACACGTTCCCAAGCTGCCTCTTTTTATTAGGTGTCAATATGATTTATGGTAGTACCATCCTACTTCCTTTAGGTGTTAAAGTAAGTTTAATTTTGGAATAGACATTTAAAAAGATTCTACAATGTTATATTATTGCTGTATCAACCCAGAGTCTTTCTCTGTCATAAAAATGGTTAACATTATTTCTCTACTAAAACAGAGATTCTGAACATGCCAAACACATAAAAGGAAAAATGGCAGAGATATTCACCTTTTCCTTGCTTACTGATTGCTAATGCTTGAATTTCTAATTCAGTTTTGAAATTATAAAGCTGATAGTCAATATAAACTGGTGATAAACTGGTAACTAATAAAATCTATAATTCTGCAACATACCCTGCTGATGGAATGAGCATTATTTATTTTTAGTGGTTTTAAGATCTACCAATAAAAACATTCATTAAAGCAAATCCTTTACAAACACTATAAAAAGTGTCTAAAATTTTTTTAAATGTCCTGTTAAAAATGCACAAGAGAAGACATTCTCAAAACTCTATCCATACTTGCATTCAGCAGGCTTCAATTATAGCTTTAGGAACAGCAATGGGATCGGGAGATCTTTTCCATCTGCATTTGGTGGGCTGGCAGTATGTGGCAAAGGCAAAGGGTGGAGAGACACCGATAATGGCTTAATGCTAAAGTTTACAGGATACTTCCCCAAAAGCACAAGATCCATCCCTGTAAACTTTAGAGCTATAGCAGTGCTACCGTCTCAAGCTTTTTAATGTGTCTCTGAGACTCACAGGGAGTGCTCTAGTGAAGAGAGTGCACATACTTGTGAATGATCAGGGCTGCACCTGTCTGCCAGGCACTGTGCTAGATGCTGGGGTTCTAGTGATGAACAAGAGACAGCTGGTGTCCTTAGGGAGTCATTGAGTCCCAAGAAAACGCAGACCATGCTTAAGCACTGATAGTGGGAGAGACTGCCACTCACTCCAGCAGGGGTGGGAAACCTGCAGCCTTAAGGCCACATGTGGCCTTTTGACTGAATCCAAATTTTAGACTAGTCAAGTGCAGTAGTGAGAAGGGGGGAAGTAGTAGAACAAGGAGTTAAATTTGTAACTGTGAACAATCAAGTGAGATAACTCACTACCTTTGGACAAGCCACTGAAGCCAAATTTTACAGAATAAATCCTTTTATTAAAAGAGGTGCAGCAAGAAAGATAAAGCTTTTCTTGCCTCCTTTGGTGCTTAAAAAAGAACTATCTCGAAATCAGAAGGTGGCAGGTTCCCCACTTCTGCGTGGCTCAGTGGATTCCCTTCCATCCCCACCCCCCAACTTTTGGAACACTTAAAACCATGTGCCGTCTCAGCTACAACGGACTGGCTTAGTTTTTAATTTCCTATTTACTTTGAGGGTCTGCCAAGCACACTATGCAGTTGCTATTACAAATAAAACAAAAAGATACAACTTTTTTCTCTTAATCCTAGATTTCTCTTTAAAGTTTGGAAAATTTTAAACATACATTTGTCACTTTGAATCCTTGCGTTCCATGTCCATGGATTTAACCAAGTGCATCTCAAAAATATTCATAAAAAAAAAATGGACAGCTGTGTCTGTACTGAATAGATGTTTTTCTTGTTATTCCCTAAACAATACAGTATAACAGCTACAATATTTACATAGCATTTACATTGTATTAGATATTATAAGCAATCCACAGACGATTTAAATTGTACAAGACGATGTACACAGGTCATATACAAATACTAAGACATTTTATTAGGGACTTGAACATCTGTGAATTTTGCTATCCACGAGGTTGGCAGTGGGGTCCTGGAACCAATCTCCCACCAATACCAAGGGACGACTGCACACACTAAAGTCTAGAATCTTCCACCACCTCAAAAATTATCAACTCATGGTTAATCTTGTTTCCTCTCCATCCCATAAATACTCTCATTAACTTAAAAGTGAATTCTATTAATCACATTTTAGTGTGCCTCTCAAAATGTTGATCACAACAAAATTAACACAACTCAAAAACTGGCCATCAAAATCTAGTGTTCAAATTTTCCCGTTCATCTAATTTTTCCGGCTATCTGCTTGTGCCTGCATTTTTGTCAGCACAATGGTACCGGGTAAGTTTTGTAAGTATCTCCACCCCCACAGACTCAGAACTGTAAGGCTGCAAAGAGCCTCAGTGACGACAGTCATTCCCTCTCAAGAGGTTATAAAAGGGAGAAGTTACATTTATAGGCCATACCTGATCCAAATCTCACACTCAAATAAACGTGTTATGAGTTATATTGTGTTCCCACAAAAATCATGTTTAAGCCCTAAATCCCAGTGCCTCAAAATGTTGACCCTATTTGGAAATGGGGTTGTTACAGATGCTATTAGTTAAGATGAGGTCATTATGGTGAGCCCTCATCCAGCAGACCTGGTGTCTTTAGAAAAAGGAGAAATTTTGACAAACAGGAAGAAAATTAACGTGAAGATGAGGACTGGGACTTGCTTCTACATGCCAGAAATGCAAATATTACCAGCAAACTACCAGAAAGCTAGCTATGGGGGATGCATGGGACGGATTCTTCCTCACAACCAGCCCATAGAAGGAACCAACCCTGCTGTTACCCTATCTCAAGACTTATGCATCCAGAACTGAGATAGTACAGTTCTGTCATTTAAGTCATTTGGTTTGTGGTACTCTCTGATAGCAGTCTTAGTAAACTAATACAGTATCTTCCAACATACAGTTTACTTCCTTTTAAAATTATAAAGCTTTTCCTTAGCTGTCACGAAGGTGCTTGCTCAGTCCTTCTGAGGCAGCTAAGGCCATACTGAGGTGAGACTTTCACTTCACCTGGCCATTAGCCAACTAAGGCCTCCATCTCCAAGCTAGCTTTTGCACCTATTATATTAGGCCCTCATTCTGCAAGATGTGACTGTCATGAAGAATAATGTCCCATTAAAACACGTGGTATAAGTGTTGACCCTTTTTGGCCTACCTTGTTTGCAAAGGCCCCAGTGTATCACACTGGGAGCCTTGTGTACAATGTAGGGGCTTGGTGGACTTGTGCCAGCAGTGAAACCAGCTCGAGCAAGACCCCCATTTCTACAAAAAATAGAAAAATTAGCTGGGCACGGTGGCAAGCACCTGTAGTCCCAGCTACCCAGGAGGCTGAGGAAAGAGGATCACTTGAGCCCAAGAGTTTGAGGTTGCAGTGAGCTATGACGACGCTACTACACTCCAGCCTGGGCAACAGAGAAACCCGGTCTCAAGTCTGTGGAACCCACAGAACCATGAATAAATCAGAGAACCTCTGTGGTTAAAAAGTGGGCCATAAAAGGGGCAAAAGAATATGAATGAGCAAAAGACTATGAATCGTGTTTGCGGAGGGATACAATATTCACTTTATGTTGGTATTTGAATTATACTATTCATACTAATTTCAGATCTCACTAAAACAAACAACAAAACGAAACCCTCCAAATGTAGCAAATAAAAACAAGCACCAGAATTTCACTTTTATAGTTTTATTTTTCAGGTAAAAGTGCATTTCTTAAAAAGTGTTGCAATATCCAGTTTCATTTGGCAAGTGGTAACAGTCAACTCTCAATGGTTCATGAAAGGTTTTATTATGGATCATACATAGATTCTCCTGACATATTCATAGTGAACCAGAAATACTACCTGTAAGTGTAGGTCTGCTTCAAACGTTATATAAAGCATTACACAATCAAATAAAACTGCACCATTATTTCACATCTACTAGTGCAGATAAGCGAGGAATGAACGGGTACTTCTTAAGTTTCAACTTAAATCATTTTAAGACTTATCAAATATAAATATTTTGTGAATGTAAAACTAGGCTCTCTTAGGAAGAGTTTACCAAGTGATGGGTTCAAAAATATTATATGGTTAATAAATGACTGATTTGGCTTCTATCAGTCTTTTTCTAAGTGCATATCAGTTAGGTCTATCCATAGGAGGTAGTGTGAAGATAGGTTGAAAGCAACTAATAACTCATCAGCTCAGAAAGCAAACTCCTGTACCCAATTTATTTCACAGTTGTGATTTAACTTATATAGTGCCAGACACCTTTCCCTCAGACCATCAAGTTTCCTTAACAACATGGCAAATAACATAACTATAGTTTGAGAGTTTAGGTAGGAGAAACAAGTATACTTAGAAAGTACTAGCATCTCCTTGTACATATGTATTTGAGCAACAGTAGAAGAAATAAATGAAATCAGGGGAACACATTTTATCAAATAAAATCTAATAGGGGTATAACAAATGAACCAATCAAGATGCCATCCTCCAGCAAGAAGCAAATAACCAAACTGACTACATGCCAAGTATAAGCAAAATCATCCTCTGTAACAGGGATTGACAAACTTTGTAAATATTTTAGGTCTTGCAGGCCATACAGTCTCTTTCATACTACTATACTCAGCCATTGTAGCATGAAAGCAGCCACAGATAATATGTAAATAAGCATGGCTGTGTTCATGGGTAGCACAAACAACAGGTAGTCTGCTGACCCCTGCTCTGTAAAAAACCTTCCTAGTTAAGACTGCTTCAGTTGCTATACTCAAAACTGATTCTGCTCTTAATGTCATTTCCTTTTAGAAAAGTCCTATTCTATAAAAATAAATTCTTTAGGCACTTTAACTATTCAATTAGTATTAAAATAGTTGTTATACTATATTCCATTTTCAGTTCCATGAGACATTATTTTGACTTCCTAGTTATATGTCCTTCATCCATTTAAGAAATAAAGCTGCCTTTTAATGGAAATTATTAACTGCTTTGAAGGAAGCAGAGTATTTAGTTAACAATGTATATTTTTAATAATCACTCAGAGTATTTGTGAACATCAATTATGGTACTGTGTTATGTATAGAAAAGCTCTCAGGGACCACTGGCTATCAGCTATTTTCAAAGTGTATAGGACTGCTCGCCCCTATACTAAATGGACCATGCACTGTTAAGATTTCTTATCAATATGCCTTTCCTCTTGTCTTCATCGTATTACTTCTCAGTGTATCACTTCCTATCAGCATATAAACCTGCTGTCTAGTAAGCTTAGCTTTTATTCACTATTATAAATAGGCACACTGTGGCCAAAATAACATTTCCTCTGAGTACAAAATTTACATAGATTTTTTTTTCTTACTTGTGACATCAATAACTGAAAATATGCCTTCAATTTTACAGTCTCAGGTAAGGGGTGAGGTTATCTTTTATACTAATGGCATCTTCCAAGGGAGTAAGTATTTACAGCTTACTGTGTGCCATGTTTGGTTTTTAACTGTTCTTTGGAGAGAGAAAGGTTTAGAATAAAGGAAAAAAAGGGTGAAGACACTGGAAATTTTAACATTCTATTCTAAGAACTGAGTAAATTCTCCTAATTCTGTTGGTCAACTATATTAAATATCTATAGCTCTTCAATCTTGAATGACTCATATTTTAAATGGCTACTTTTAAAAAGCAATATATAAAGCCTGGCACATAACAGACATATTAACCAGATCATCAGAAATCACAAAATCCAATTTGTTTAATAGATAAACCTATCAATCAATTTTGATAAGCCAATTTTTAAAACCCATTACTTAACTTTTAGCTAATTTTCTTTAGTGCTTTGAATGAAGGCATTTCTTACAAACAAGGTATTTAAATATGCAAGGAAACTGAACATCTTGAGAATTCCAAGAAAAACACACTTTTAGAGAATCAAATTATCCAACTATCTTTCAAACTCCACTTTGCAATGAAGCATGAATTTTCAACCATCAAATTAAGTCACCAGAGGTCTTCAGTAAAATGACAGGGCATGTCTGTCCTATATGACTTCTTCATTATGGTATTACTAACTAACTGCCAAATTAACCTTGGAGTAGTGTTATGTTTTCAATGTTTATTAATAAAATAATGGAAGATCCATAATACAAGGCAAGATTTAGAGACAATGTATTTCTAAATATTTGAAAATCTACTTTCATATTAACAAAAATGATGCTGCTACATTTTCTCATTTCCTATGGGGGGGGGGGTGGAACAAAGAAAAAGAAAAATAATAAAAAAAAACCCCAAAACAAAAATGAGAACATAATCCACAAATATTCACAAGAAAGCACTTTAATCTGCTTTAGTAATAAGGTTCCTTATTACATGATATCTTTAACTGCCTATTAAAAAAATAGATCTTCCATATTTTACTTTCTTAAAATTTTTGAACTTTAGTTTGAAGACTTCAAGATCAGTCTATATCTCCAATTCATACACTTGAAAAAGTTATGTCTAGCTTTTATAATATGTGGCAATAATTCTAAGTATTTAAATCTGCTTCAGTTATCAAAACCCAATTCACAGCCTGAAGCCTCTTAGGAATATCTACTTACTACAAATGCAGTCCAGACACTAGCAGAATAAGAAGAAAGTTAGGCCTTTCTTACTGAATTAAAGTTAGAAGGAATGGCTTTAAGGGAAAATACTAGCTCATTTATACTTTCTCTGAAATTTAGACTGAGACAGCTTTTTAAATACCACTTATTTTTAATTATTTTCATTCTTTTACCTTAGAAAAACTCACCTATATATTTGTTCCCCTAATTTTGTTTCTTGCCCTGACACTTATTCTTGACATTTTAATGATGCTTAAACATGGAATCCCTGACTACTTTCAACCTGTATAGAAAAAAAGAATCCATGGGCAATGTCAGAATCAATCAAAATGTTCAGATTTAAATCCTATTTTTTGACTGTGTTATGCAATAACATTATTTACCCTTACTCAATCCTATACTACTTGGAATTAGAGAAAGGCTCTATACCATTCAACAATGGCTTTCAAACTTGTTCAAGTGGCATAGCATCTCACTGAAATAATACTGAAAATTTAAATCCACTATGAAACTTAAAATAGATTTCATAGATATGAAAAATTACACTACACTTCTACATGCCACTAGATTTTTTAAAAATGCATAAAATAATTAAGAAAACATGTTAAGTGTTCTTAGTTATATTTGCCATGTGTTTTATTAACCATTAGAAAAGATTTGAAAAAACAGGCTCCATTTTAATAGTGAAACAACACAGTGGAACTGATCAAAAAATATTAACGTTTTGCTATTCAGGAATTATTCAGGGGAAAAGCTGTGGAAAATTTTAAGGCAAGAACATTGAAAATAAGGTACCTTAAATATACGCTTATAACCATAGCAACAACAAAGATTTAGCAAGCTGGTCTATGCCCTCAAATAATGTATTTAAATACAACTTTGCTGGAATACAATGTTTTTTAAATTAATGCATGTGCTTCTATCAAATTCAGTGATTTGAGTAAACAGTAATCATTTTGGTCACATTTTCTACTGCACTGTTCAGCTTTACAGGAACATCTTTCAACCAGCAAATAAGTTTAGTTCACACAAATTTTAAGGCATGTAGTCATGAAACAAGCTATAATTTTAACTCTAAACTGCATTAAAGTACCCTACCCCATCCCCTGCCCTCAAACACGCATACCCTTTCTTGTTCACACCTGGTTCCCTAAAAACTCATGTGCCTCTGTACTATTCAATATAATTTGGGAAATAAATGATAAACAATGTAAACCACAATTATAATTGTTCTTAAAAAATCAGTATTGTATTTTTCATTAGTTATTTCTTCAAGCTATAATCCTTAGTTTAATCATCCCAGAATTTCTTTATAAAGCCATCTCGGTATATGAATATCATACTTAGAAAGATTCAAAAATATTTGTAATGGTGATGGACTTACGATTATGAAAAAGATGCTAACACTCCTGCTGAATATAGGAGAAGTGACTAGGCACAAAGATGAAACTTTCTATAACTTGCTGTAGAAATATGTGCCTTTTAAAGTAGGAATTAGGTTCTAAATAAAGTGAAAACTGAGATCATTCACTCATTCTATTCACAGAACAAGTAAAATATATTCTCAGTTAAAAAGACGAAACAAATATGGGAAGTCAGGCACTAATACTAGCTGGTAAAATTTACAAATATTTTAATTACATATACCCTATTTTTCAAAACAAAACATACAAATATAAAAAAAGAACAGTTTCAAATTTCTTCCAAGTTTGCTTTTAGGCATAGGCTGGAAAAAAGCACGTAAATCCTAGATGTCTTATTGTCTAATTTGCAATGAAAATATTCAAACTAACATTCCATTAAGAAGAAATGTAACAAGGCACACTTTCTAGTGGCTGATACCCTCTTCCAAACCAAATGAAAAAAACGTAAGGGTATGAATAGCAAAGTTGTCGTGTAACTTTTTCTCATTTGTATAATTTTACTCGTTTTCTGGATACTTTCAGAAAATAAACTCATGTTTTTGACTATTAACTAAGTAGAAAACTATTTGTTGTTTTATTTGTAGATACAGAATTCTACAAATATCTGCAGCAAGCCCATGAAGCACTTCTACTGTCCATATTGATACCTCAGTATTTAATATATACAAAATGTTTCTATTAAACAAAACTATTCACAAGAAGCTGCAGAAAAATCCATGCAATTAACGAAGACTGAAATTTATAAATTAAAAACATGGTCATCTATACACAATGTACAGTCATGCATTTATAAATGAAAACTATGTGTCTCTAAGAATTTTCATAGGCAAATGCTGTTGCACAAATATTTGCTAATGCAAATGAATGGAATCTTAGTAAATTCTGCACTAATATTTTAACCCCCAGAAGTTGAAACTTTGGGCATTTTTCTCAAAAGCTGTCCAATAAGTTGACATCTGTGGGCAAAGTTCCAATTCTTTTGCATCTTGTTCGAGGTGTCTTACCGAGAATATATTTCCTAAACCTCAGGCACAACAAAAATGAATTAAAAAAAAAAAATCAAATATAAACACCTTTATCCGTTTAGCAAAAAATTCAAATAAAAATTTTCAACTTTAAAGTATTTTATATTACATATTTCACCAGAATATGCATGAGTTTAAGAAAGTGTGAAATAAAACGTATGCTTCTGTTTCTAGTTTTTGCTTTCACATCTCTGTAAGATAATTAAATTTCTTGAAAAACTACGCATAGCAGCCAAGAAAATACATTATATAGGGGGTGGGGTGGGGGGAGATTTTACATAATAAACTTACAAAATTGAACTTACATAATAAGTCACTATCCTTCAGAGTTTGAAATGCTACCAACTTTGCAAACAGTCTCTTTTAAATTGTGCTATATTTCAGAACTTGTTTTATCAATCAAGAAAATCCAGTGATGTTTTTAAAAAAACGTCAATTTCCTCTTAAAATACTAAATAGAATTTTCATGAGCTGGTGACTTCCAACGTGACTGTAGATTTTTTATTATAGAGTTTGCCATACTACCTAGCTTCTCGTGCATTTCAAATAGCTGGCTTCCTGAATAATTATGGAGATCCTCTGAATCCAGTTGAAGAGCAAGGGCACTGATCTGTGCCACAAGATTTTTAGATAATGGAGTTTCTAAATTAACAGGATCAATCAAATCTAAAAGAGAAAAAAAAAAACAAGTAAATCTATACTAGAAAAAAATTACATTATTTACATCATCCTCTAAGTTAACAAAAAGTTTAAGTGCCTAGGTTTCAAACTGAGAGAGCCAGCTGAGGTCCTCCTGTTCTTCAAGGGAATAAGGCAAAAGAAAAATCTACCATAGCTTATTATTCTGTGCTAATAAAGAAATATCTTTATTCGAGAACTTTACGGGCTAGAAGCTGACAAAAAGAGAAAAACAATCAGACACACTTGAAGTTAAATCAGTTATTTTTCATGAACTTGGCATCAAGCACAAAAAAGCCCTGTCCTATTAACAAGACATGATCAAATGAAACTAAAAGCATAATAACAAAACATTTCGTCAAGAAAGTAAGCTATCCCCCTTTGCTAAAATATACCTGAGGCAAGTCTTTCTTCATCAGGAGAGAGAGATTTATTTTCGATTCCATTTACTGTTTTTTCAGAAATATCAAAAACTGGAATTTCTTCTAGTCCACGAGACTTCACCTTAATTATACATTCAGAGTAATAAAATGAATGAATGAATAAATAAATGCTGAAAATATATTCTTTAAAAGTAAGGAAATTCTGACATACTACAACAGGGATAAATCTTGAAAACATTATGCTAAGTGAAAGAAGCCAGTCACAAAAGATCACAGGTTGTATGGCCCCACTTTTTATAAAATGTCCACAATAGGCAAATCCAAACAGAAAGTAAATTAGTGATTTCCTATGGCTGAGGGGGTGAGGTGAGGAGTGATAGCTAATGGGGTCAGGGTTTCTTCTTTGTGTGACAAAAATTATGTTCCAAAACTAGATCATGGGGAGGATTATTTAACTGTGTGAATATACTAAAGACCATTTAAAATTGTACACTTATAGGTAGCTGAATTTTATAATATGTGAAGTATATCTTAATAAAGCTGTTGCGCATGCACACATACATTTTCCCAGGGCTCATGGAAACTGAATGAGAAAATAATTTAGAAACTAAACTCTTGATCTATGAGTCTGAAAATTACTAGTATAGTTTTTGATTTATGAGTAACTGGTTAACAGATGTTTTTTGGAGACCACAAAAAAACTAATACAAAATCAAGGACTTTCAAGAATACAGCAGATGTCTTCAGTAGCTGGCAAAAACCAGCTTAACAAAATTCTATTATAGAAGAACAACACTGCCTTTCACCCTTAACATATTCTATTTTTCATTTGTTCATGACTTCCAATACAGGTTAAATATACCTAATCCAAAAATTCAAAACCCAAAATTTTTTTAGCACTTTTTGACATAATTCTCAAAGGAAAGGCTCATTGGAATATTTTGGATTCCCAGATTAGGGAGGTTCAACCCATAAATAACTGTATGGTGCAAATATTCCAAAATTTGAAAAAATCTGGAACCCAAAACATTCCTGGTCCTACACATTTTGGATAAGGGACATTCAGCTTGCAGTGTCAATGAATAGAGGAACTCTGAATGGGTTTTAGGAGAGTCTGCGAATCCTTCTGAAATTATATACATTTAGAGGGGGGAAGAATCTTAGCTTTCATCTGAATCTTGAAAAATGTCATCACCAAAAATGTTTACATACAAAATGTTGACAGGAAGAACAAGTAAGAAAAAGAAGTCACAAATGTGCTAGACATCAAAATCAAAATACTGTGACCCACAAATTTGTAAGCTTTTTGTTTAAGTTTAGATTTGAATATCTATGGTTTTGGCAATAGTAGCCATGGACTCAATTATCAAATGGAAATGAATGAGGAAACGGGATAGAACAGAATTCAAAGAAGATAATTTAAAAACCACCCTGAAGTGCACTACGTAAAAACAGTACAAAACTAAACGAGCAATTTCTCTGGACCATTACAAAGTGATATTTTAAGTTACTCCTGACTAGGGGTAAGGCACCATAAAATGGGCTTTTAAGCAAGAACAGTTTAACTAACTTCTGCATAGTGCTATATTACTTATTAATACACATTTCAAACTAACATCTAAGTTTTTACCTGCTGCTCATGATATATTCTGAGAGCTTTTTTTACATTGGACACTTTTGGAGAACGAATAGGAAGAGTTTTTATTTCAGATGCTGTAAGAGTACTCAAATCACCAATTGTTTTTATGTTCTTGGCTCTAATGAGCTGTCCCAGGCCTCTTGCCCTGAACAAAAAATAAGAGTAAAAGGAAAAAATAATTATAGAGTTTTATTTACATGCTATTTTTCCAAGAGCTAATCTAGTTGGATTCCCCTCTTAAGCTCTATCATAACTGAGTTTGTTTACATAGGCCTATCTAGCCTCACAGTGAGGATAAGTATACATATATTTCATTTAAAATAAAATCTGGTTCTAATGTGTATTACTGGTGTAAGCAATAGCACTGGAAACAAACTAAGGCTATATAGCATACCTCATGTTTTACACACATTATTCTCTTTAATATAAATGATTCCCAGATTTCCATAAGTATATATAACAGCTTTCTAATCGGTGGGTCATAAACATGGACAGGTAGGATAGGAAGACAAAACCTGTTATGCTACCGAGCTCACAGCTCAGGCTCCTCACTAGTTTTTTTACCTCTCTTAACCTAACCTATCTATACTCCTTTTAATTTCCCTCTCCCCAATTTCTTTAATCAGTAATAGACTCAGGGCTGGGCACAGTGGCTCATGCCTGTAATCCGAGCACTTTGGGAGGCTCAGATGGTAGGATCCTTTAGGGTCCAGGAATTCAAGACCAGCCTGGGCAACAAAGTGAGACCCTGTGTCTTCAAAAACAAAACAAAAATAAACCTACAGTGAGCTATTAGCTATGATTGTGCCACTATACTACTCTAGCCTACGTGACAGAGAGAACTCTGTCTTCTCCCCAACCCCCAAAAAAGAAATGATTTGGTATGCCTGACACATGATAGGGCAGTGTGATAATTCAATTAAATAAAAATTATCTCAAGGCATCACAAATCACTTGAAACTATTTATTTAATTGAGATACAGTAATCTGGAACAGTCTAGGCACAAGCATTTAATTTTCCAAGATTCGAATTAAGGAAATAAACCTTTCATTAAAAACAAAACAAAGGCTGCGTATGGTGACTCACACCTATAATCCTAGCACTCTGGGAGGCCGAGGCGGGAGGGACGCTCAAGGTCAGGAGTTCGAAACCAGCCTGATCAAGAGTGAGACCCCGTCTCTACTAAAAATAGAAAGAAGTTAATTGGCCAACTAAAAATTACAGAAAAAATTAGCCGGGCATGGTGGCGCATGCCTGTATTCCCAGCTACTCAGGTGGCTGAGGCAGGAGGATCACTTGAGCCCAGGAGTTTGAGGCTGCTGTGATCTAGGCTGACACCACAGCACTCTAGCCTGGGCAACAGTGTGAGACTCTGTCTCAAAACAAAATGAAACAAAACAAAACCAAAAAGAGCTCATGCACAAGTTTTATATATGTGAACCTCATTCTTCCTATACATGATCACATTAGCTGTGTGACTGTGGTGATAATCTTCATATAAAGTGGAAATAATATTCATATTCCTTACAAGGTTTATATTAGGACTAAATGAGATAATAAATGATTAGGGTTCAGCACAGCACCTGCACACTTCTCTTATTATATTAGAGCAGTAAGGTAATACTTATCCTACCTGGCCCACCTTCCTAGCCACATTTTTATTTACCTCTTAAAAAAAAAAAAAGGTGTGCAGGAGGAGGGCATGTCAATCAATTCTAACTATGAGAACCCTGACCATTCAAATATTTCTCTTAAATAAGTGGCACCTTGGAATATAAGCCAGAAGCCTAAATAATCACTCACCACATGTTAGACGTAATCTGAGGTAAAATGATGTCAACTGGTGCGACACAGTTCACCAAAGCGGGGTAAACACTTTCTGTTGGGCATGGCATGGATTCTTTGGTCATTTCTGTAATCTTGAACAAATTTCAAAAACCGTTAAATAGAGGTCACCCGACTGAATGTGAAAATATAAAGTTATGTGAAAACTAAAGCACTTCTTACTAAACACTTCTTTGAGCTCTTAAATTTAGGGCTACGTGATCCTGGGGACAGAAATCCTTTGATTGAAGTGGTATTATGCTAGACAGAAGAAAGGAGAGAGAAAAAAAAACCTCAGAACCCTAGATAACTATAATTTTACAATTTTATTTTCACAACTTAAACTGCAATCATTTTTTTTACAATTTCAGAAAACATTATAATCTACTACCTAATCAATTACTTGCTGGACCATCACTGTCTCTTACCACCTCTTTTCTTCATGTCTGCTTACCATGTTCTTACAAAAGAATGCATCCCAAAGAAGCTGTTTCTCAAACAGTTCATTCCAAGACAAATCATGGACATGCAATTCTGTGTCTATATCCATATACGTACACATAAAACCTATAGCTTACCTTAGACTGTGCAGTAGGAGAAGTTTTAACACTTTTTACTATGGGGGAACTATTTGAAGAATGGGACCTAATAATAGAGCACCGTCTATCAATGTCATCTGCCAATCCTGCTTGGTATATTGGATCTGCAAAGGAGACACGGCGAACCTGAAAACATAGGGTCAGGAGGTTTTTACTTAAGAAAATTAAAGTTTTAAAAAATAAAGCCATAAATCCTCATTATAAGGTTACTTAATATAACATGGACTGAGAAGCTGAATTTATTTCATTAGAAGCCAACTGCACATAGTAGTTTTTTCCTGGTGACTACTTTCGCAATACCTAATTATCTAGGTTTTAAACTGTCTTTGTATATAACACTAAAGACTGTATGAAACAGGGACAGAAGTAGAAACTTAATGAAATTGCACATGGCAGTTAAAATTGTATAATCTGACTCTAGTAATCTTAATGTGCTTACTAAACAAACTGGAAAGAACAGGATGACGAGGTTAAAAACAAGTAACTGGTCTCTGCTATGTCTTACTAATCTCTGTTCTAAATTCTTTGAGGTTACCATCAGAGTGACAGAAATTGGGTAGCAATTTTTGTCTTTCTTACACCCAGCTTCAAGTAATTTTGGTCTAAATTCCTACAGTGTCTTCACTGATTCAACTATTTGATATAAATACACATTGAGCACTCTTATACCATTAATATGTTTTTATACATCTTGTGATCTTGATTCTCAAGAGTGGGCAGATTTTATACATACCTGCTACAGAAAACTACAATATGTTGTTCTATTGCCTAAATAAATATTAAGCATGAACTACTATCAATCAAAAAGCAACTAGTTAATTTCTAGTAATAATCTAAAGTAGTATATAGAAGAAAGAGACATCTTGGCTAGAAAAATTCCAAGGAGTTAAAAAAAAAAAAAAAAGAGACATTAATCCTAATGTACTCTTACCTTCATAAACTTTTCAAGGACTTCTATGGCTTATTAAACTTAAAATACTTACAAAAAAAAAAGACTCTCAAAACTAAGAATAACCTACTGTGTTTCCCTGAAAATAAGACAGTCTTTCTTATATTTATTTTTCCTCAAGATACCTCGGGCTTTTTTTTTCAGGGGATGTGTTATTTTCCCCTCAAAGCCTCAGCTTGCAGCATGCACAGGATGGCCGGGACCTGACATGGGGAGCTGACCTTGTTGGTGGGGCTGCCTGCACCTTTCCGGTCACCTCTGGGATAGTAGCTATCACGATGGGGTAGATGAGAAGGGCTGCTCATCTTCTTTACTGCTCTGTGACAAAATGCATGGGTTGTGCAGATACGCAGCATAGCCATGCCCATTATTAGGTCTTATTTTCAGGGTAGGGCTCATATTGCGCAAATGCTTAGAAATCCTGCTAAGGCTTATTTTATGGGAGGGTCTTATTTTCGAGGAAACACAGTATATACAAGAGAAAACAAAAACTCAATAGCTGTTAGGTCTTCCTAAACAGGTAATCCCTGAACTCTCAGCAGAATTTTCAATGTATCTCAGAAAATTGAAAATTCCTAAAAGTAATAGAAATAGGAATTAAGCAGGGAAGTTTTCAAAATGTGCTTGCTGAAGGCAAAAAGCAAGATGTCATGTTTGTATAATATACATATGCTTGTATACATAAACATGTATTGTATGCTACAGCACAGGTTCAATTTCAAAATTAAGAAATACCAACATCACACCTTTTCCGAACGTTTAGAGTTCGTGTTTAGAGTAGTTCGTGTAACTTTTCCTTTTTACATTTTTTAATGCATTTATCCAACACCTATATGCAAGGTAGAGGGCCAAAAGGCAAAAGCAAATATATAGATAATCCATGTTTCCTAAACTAAAGGAGCTATAATTTAGCTCAGAAGATGGGATAAAAAAAAAAAAAAATCCACAAACTGATAAAGGTACAGCCTAACAAGATTTTTTTTTCCTTTTAATTAGATATAGTCTAAAAATAAGAGTTTATATATAAACACCTAGGTAAAACAGCAGTGTCCCAACACACAGTACGTGCTAAACTTGCTTTATCAATGGCAATCAGTGTTGCCTAAATTCCTAAATCTGTTCCTCATGTGATATACAATGGTATGAGGAGCAGAAAAGATCTTAAGAGAGCCTTACCAATTTTGCCAAACGTGAACAATAATGCACAGTTGCATAAAACCTTTAGTTTATGTTATGAGATGAAAGAATATCTAAAGAGCTTTAGTCTCTTTTTTTCAACATTTCTTTCTACTTGTCTTTCTCCTAGCACCATGGTAAATTAACAAAACGAGTGAACACATAATTCTAATATTTTGTCATTCACCAGGTGCCACTGAATGGCCAAAATATTTCAAGCAAATACTGGACCACTAAACATCCAGCTTCATTCTCCCTACCTTGTTAACAGGTGATGAGATCTCATCTTCTTGGGGTCTTTTTAGTCCTCTCTTTAAAATGCTGGTGGATGGAGAAGCCAAAGGAGACCAGACACAGCGTGTCTGCATGCCACTAGGACTGTAATTTGCTGACACAAGTGAAGGATCAAGTTCCGTTAATTTTTGAGGAGATGCATTATTGTCTTCTATTATCAGTTCAGAGATACCTGTTTCAGATGTCAGAGATTGTGGTGGTTCCTCCACTTTCTCTGATGTGTGAACTTCCTGTAAAATATCATTTCCCACTACCATTTGATTGTCATCTAATTTTATTTCTTCAGGTTTACTGAGTTCAGTATTTGTTTCAGTTTTATTACAGTCAACTTTTCCTTCTTCAGGGCTCACTTCAAGTGTGTCAGGCACAATGTTGTCAATTTCTGCATTCAGTCCTTTTGTTTCAGCATCTTCAGGTTCAGAGGTTTTGATGGACATGTCCTCATCTTCTGTTTTATTGACATAGCCAGTTTCAGCATTCACCTCACCAATCACTGTTTCTTCACAATTTTCCATTTCAGCATTCATATCTTCAGATGAACCTGAATCAGGCACATCACTTCCTCCATCTAGTTCCCCAACTGCTGTTTGTTCAGACATCTCAGTTTGAGCACTCACTGTTATAGGTGTGGTATTATCAGAAACACTGATGCCTGAATTAAATTCCTCAGTTGCTGCTTCTTTGGCATACAGTTTTTTAGCTGTTTCTGCTTCAGATTCATCACCACTACTACTGTTTTCCTCTGTTGTTGCTTCTTCAGAAATATCAGTTTTGGCACTCTCTTGTTCAGAGAAACTAGCTTCAGATTTATCATTTCTTATATCCAATTCCATGGCTTCTATTTTCTGTAGATCGGATTCTGTTACATTACATGCATTTTCTTCAACATTAACAACATTACCTACACTTAGTTCCCGTTCCACGGTAGCTTCTGGCTTTTCTTTAGTTTCCAAAGAGCATTCCTGGGAAATATCTTTGGAATCAGCTAAACACGGGCCAACAGTTTTAAATTTTTTATTAGGTGGCTCTTGACTTTGAAGAGACTTCACTTCACTAGAATTTATACCACAAGTTTCCTCTTTAAAATTTACTATTTCAGAAGGAAGAGTTTCTTGAATGGTATTTTCTTTCAACTCAGTTTCAGATACAATTAATGAATCATTGATAGTATCATTATCCTCTTTGATACCCAAATGAAAATTCACACTGTGGTGCTCATCTAAAAATTTTACTTCAGAACACAGATTAGCTTTAGAAGTTTCTGATATAGTTACAGGTGTTTGTACATCTGTCTTTTTTGTTTCACTAATCTTTACATCATAATTTTCTGTGTTCTTGAACCCAAAGAATGACTTTTCCTGAGGCTGTGATTTTTCCCCACAGCAATCACAACTTTTAGATCTCCTCACCCTCCTACTTCTCTTATGCTGGCATTCAAGTGTTTGAAGAGATTTTTCAGAAAGCAAAGAAATGTCTGATGTCTCTATTTTTGAGGACTCTTCTACACTATAATTATCAATAAAGTCTCGCTTATGTAATCTCTTACTGGCATTTCTAGTCCTTAGATTTGACTCTGGCACAGGTGGACTTGTAAAAAAATATTCTGCACATTTGCTAGTTTTACTTTCCCCCTCACATGTATTTGCTACATCATCAGAAATCTGCAACAAATCTGAAGATGCAGAATCCTCAAGTACTGCAGTACTACTTTCATCTTTCTTTTCACAAACCTGAGACTTTATGTCTACATCTACTTCTGAACTTGCTTTATAATCATGTGTCTGATTTTCAGCTTTTATAGACTCCTGTTTTACCATTTTCTCCTCTTGATCTTCAATGTCAACACTGTCGTTGCTTTTGCTTTTCCATTTTCCAGATCTCTTCTTTCTAGAACCTTCTTCTTTTGCCTCAGAACTATCAGATTCTGAGTTTTCAATGCTAGAAAGCAAACCCTGAGATGCTCTTCTTGTTTGATACCGTGTTCGGCCCCTTACTGGTTTCTCCGAGGACTTATCTGCAATGTCCTGGGCACTATCTCCTTCAGACTTAATATTCTCAAGGTCTGGCTTTCTTTTATTTTGGTCAATTTCAGAATTAGCACTAGTTTCCCCAAAATTCTTCTCATGTATACTATTTCCTTTCTCAGTTAAATTCTCCTGCATAAGTTGTTCAGAAATCAATTTTTGCTTAGGTAACAAATCATCTTTTATATGCAATGGATTCTTCTGAAGAGGTTTTTCTTCTTCCTTACGTCTTTCCCTTTTTTGATGATTATTTTCTTTATTTTGGCTATCAGTGGTAGATTCTGCTATTTCTGAACGTCGCCTTGAAGATCGTCTAAGCGTTTTTTGATTTGGAGTTATCTGAGCCTGACTATCCTCATTTATCATTTGATCTGATGGTATTACTGCTGGGGGTGTATTTTCTTTGGATTCCAAATTAATTTTTACATTTTTCTCTTCTACAGCATTAGTTTCCAATAACACAGCATTTTCTATTGTTGGTTTAAACTTGGCATCTTCATACTCCACTGTAGATTCAGAAAGATGAACCTGATTATCTGATACACATTCTGTTTCATTAAGCAAATCAGGTGGGTTATTTTCTAAGGTTACCATGCCTTCAATAGATTCCTGAATATTTTTCTCCTCTTCAGATTTCATTAAGGGCTTAGATCTTTTATTCCCCGTTTGTTCAGCTTTACCCAATCTCCGGCCTGATCTCTTAGTTCCATTTGATGTTTTTTCAGAATCTGATTTTGAAAGAGTCACTTCTCTTTGCTTTGCTTTTGGTGGAATATCTGTTTTAATCTTGTTTTCCTGGTTACTTTTCACTGTAACAGTTGATGACATGTCATTCAAAGGGGACGGGCTAAAAGGTCTATTTTCTGACCCATCAAACTTCTCCAAGGTAATAAAAGTTTGCCTCCGACTTGTAGGCTGTGGAGGAGCTCCAGAAATAGTGGCATTAGAAACTGAGCTACTGCTGACAACAACAGAACTTTCTGCACTAGATGCACATTCAGTTGAAGTTTTCTTTGATGGAATTAAAGCTTTTTTCCTGGCATCATTATTACTGCTCAGTATTTTTGAAGTGTTTTCGTAAACAGAACCACACTCTTTATTTGAAAAGGAAGCCTTTTCAAGATGTTCATCCATACCACAGTTTTCCGTGACATCTTGAGGAATGACACTGTCACTCTCCATTTGTTCCTCCTGCACAGAAATGTAGATATATATATACAGATTAATCAGCAAACAAGTTTGATTTTTTGGGAAAGTTTTAGTGTAGAACTTTAGTAATTCAAAGACAATTACTAAATTACAATAAATTGCAAATATTCCAAACGTAGTGGTAGGTGCCTAGTAATTTGCATTCCTACTTGTAAATGTTCAGTAAAAGTCAAATACATTTATTTTATATAAACACACATAGGTTATAATTCTGCTAGTATCTAAGTGGGAGATAAGATGTTATACAGTAAATCTTAAAACTAATAAAATGAAGGCCTACAGACAACCTTTCAGCAGTTTAAGAGACTCCATAATGGAAGGATGATTCTAATAACCCCAAAATACCAAATACCAAATATACCTTAAACATCATCTTGGAATCTTCCTTTGGTTTTCTGGTTAAAGTAGGAATTTCTCTGAAACAAATAGTGATATAAATTAGAACGCTGTTTTTGTAATTACTTAAAAATCAGGTAAACAGTTATAAAAGTTTGATGGCTTCCATACTTACATAGACTCTTCCTGACTATACTGAGAAAATAACGTATCTTGTGAAACATCCAGATTATTATACATGGCAGGAATATCACACCTAAAAAAATTTTTACATAAGTAACTCCAAAAATCTGATGATATTTCTACAATTAAAAAGTAACCTTACAATTCTATAACCAAGCTTTTATAAACAATATGAAATCAAGACCTACATGCTTATTTTCCAGACTTTCCACGAAACAATCTCCCAACCTATTTCAGTAAAGGAATTCAATTTGTAACATTTGGTACATTATTGTATACCTGTAGTTAAGCAGCATTATACATTATAAAATTAATGTATGTACAGCATATGTTTTGGCATTAAAACTTAGTATACACAGAATCTTAGTACTAAACACAAAGTTATAAAAGGCCTACAAACCGCTTTGTTTTGAGTACTTCTTTTTGATGTTCAGTTAGTATTCTTTCCTTTGCATTTTTTCCTTCTGGAGATATAAACACAAAGTCAGTAGACTTTTCCTCTTCCAAAAGTATTTCACTCTTTACTTTTAGAGATGAAGATTCAAATTTCAGCTGCAGATTAAAAAAAATACATGTGCATTTTAGTTTCCTAATTATTTTCCAATACTTCTATCAATCTGTTTTCTAATACATAGTTTTTCAATAGTGATTAGAAAAAGTTTGAAGTTTAAGCCCATATAATATTTACGATCAGGCCGGGCGCGCTGGCTCAAGCCTGTAATCCTAGCACTCTGGGAGGACGAGGCGGGCAGATTGCTCGAGGTCAGGAGTTCGAAACCAGCCTGAGCAAGAGCAAGACCCCGTCTCTACTATAAATAGAAAGAAATTAATTGGCCAACTAATATATATATATAAAATTAGCCGGGCGTGGTGGCGCATGCCTGTAGTCCCAGCTACTCGGGAGGCTGAGGCAGCAGGATTGCTTGAGCCCAGGAGTTTGAGGTTGCTGTAAGCTAGGCTGACGCCACGGCACTCACTCAAAGCGAGACTCTGTCTCAAAAAAAAAAAAAAAAAAAAATATTTACGATCAATAACAAATTGGTACAATTTCCTTCACTTTCTTTCTGCTTAGAATAACTACATATAATAGATGTTAAGGATTACACAGAAATTACCTTTATTAAGGAATCACCTAAGGCTTCAAGATTATCATGCTACCTGAGTAGCCTTTCTAGACCAAATTCTATCATCCCCTTGTAATCTCATCTTTTATTTAGTCTTTTACAGCTTTTTCTTCCAATTAAAAGTTGCCTGTCGGCTGGGCGCAGAGGCTCATGCCTGTAACCCTAGCACTCTGGGAGGTCAAAGTGGGTGGATCATTTGAGGTCAGGAGTTCCGAGACGAGCCTGAACAAGAGTGAGACCCCGTCTCTACTAAAAATAGAAAGAAATTAATTGGCCAATTAAAAATACATAGAAAAAATTAGCCAGGCATAGTGGCACATGCCTGTAGTCCCAGCTACTCGGGAGGCTGAGGCAGGAGAATTGCCTGAGCCCAGGAGTTTGAGGTTGCTATGAGCTAGGCTGACACCATAGCACTCTAGCCCAGGCAACACAGTGAGATTCTGTTTCAAAAAAAAAAAAAAGTTGCATGTCCTCAGGCTACTGCACACTTAATCTAAAAATTCTATTAAATACACTTTTGAAAACATACTTTGGCTGGTGGTTTCATCTTTTCTTTCTTGTCCTTTGTTTGTACCAAAAAGGAATCTCTTTTTCCACTTGATTTTCTTTCCATGCCACTTATCTTCACATTTAGTTGTGAATTTTCTGTCTGTTTTATTAAAAATTAAACAATTTCATTAAGGTCAACTGTATTATTTGCTTCTCCTTTTCACATTTTGAAAATTCCAGTCTAATAAGTACTCATTTCAAATGTCAAATTTCTTATGATTATTCAATCCTATTAAAATCAATGGAAGGAAAGCCACTAAGTCAGTAAAATCAAATGGCTTTGTTGCTTCTAACTTTTATAGCAGTTGCTTTGCACCGTTTAATTTTATGAATTCTGGGAAAATAAGAAATACCACATAATTACTACAATGTGAATCAAATTACTAGACTTAAATACTCCACCTACTGGAAATATTCTAAAAGAAAATTCAAAGCCATACTTTACACATTAAACAACAAAGAGGGTTAATAAAGCATATATAATAGAGAATATTACTGCACCACGCACATTTTCCTTCAACAGAATACATGGCTTTTACAGGTGAAATTCCACTGAAAGAATTTTAACAAGTCTAGATGGTTACGTGGTGAAAATTTTTTTATTTTAGCCAAAACTAAAAACAAAACAAAATAGAGTACTTAGCTGACTATTTTTCTCTCTTACCGATTCTAAACAAAAAACTGCTATACGTCATTTGTTCCTAACTAGAAAAAAGTTTTCTAAGGATATTCCACCTCAGGGGAATATAGAGCCCATGTCTTTATCTGCCTGTATCTTCAGGTAGTATCAAAGAACCTTGGTCCTAATGTGTGATGTGATAGCAGGGATGTGTTTATCTGACAGAAGAAATGAGAGAATTGACAGGAGAAAGTGAGAGTAGCTCTTGCTTAGACATGGACTGTTATTTCTAGTTATTAACTATTATTATTAACTGTATATTAACTGTTACTTCTAGTTTTTTCCAAAGCAACACTTAACTACACTTATTTTAACAATTAAAAGCTTTCAAAAATAGTACATATAAGGTAGCTGAGTTCAAAAAGGTCATTAGTGAACAAGAATTAGAGTTGATTTACATGAGCATCACTAGTGAATTTACATGAGAATCACTAGTGAAAATTTTTGCCCATAATTCAAAAAACTATCTTAGCCCAGACAATTGATAATATGGAAAAATACTATGTTATAAAACTCTTTTCTGTTCAGGTTCTATTTATCACTTACAATAAACAAGCTACTCGAATACCATTTAAAAGTTTAAAAAAAACCAAACAACTTACTGCATCTGAATACGGTCCACTGGATTCTTCCATCATTTCAACAGTTTCCAAACCAGGCAAGAGAAGCAGAAATTTTTGTTTGGCTTGTCTTAGTACTGGTCTTTAAAAAAGTATATAAACAGACATACCTTGAGTCAAGTAATACTGGTGAACACTGATATGTTAACAAGAGCACTTTATAATTTTAGAGCAGCAAACTACATCAGGCTTAAAGACTACTTCTTTCTATATTTATTTTTATATATATATCAAAATACATAAAATCAAGAGAAATTAGATAATTTTTGTATTTTTCCTGAATATTTGCCTGAATTTCTGAACTTTCTTCTTTAAAAACTTATTAAAATTTCCAAATTTTTATCATGGAAAATAGGAAACAAAAGTACAATATTATATCAAGTTTTCATATCTTGGTTTAAACACCATCCATTTCTTGCCTTTCTTGTTTCTTTTATTAAGGATAATTTTAGGGTGGGCATGGCACACCTAATAATCCTAGCACTCTGGGAGGCTGAGGCAAGATGATTACCTGAGCTCAGGAGTTTGAAGACCAGCCTGGAGCAAGAGTGAGACCTCATCTCTAATAAAAACAGAAAAATTAGCCAGGTGCTGTGGTACACACCTATAGTCCCAGCTATTTGGGAGGCTGAGGCAGGAGGATCACTTGAGCCCAGGAGTTTGACGTTGCAGTGAGCTATGACAACACCATGGCACTCTACCCTAGGCGATAAGAAACTCTCTCCAAAAAAAAAAAAAAGATAATTTTAGGCCGAGCGTGGTGGCTCATGCCTGTAAATCCTAGCACTATGGGAGGCTGAGCTGGGAGGATCATTTGAGCTAGGACTTTGAGACTAGCCTGAGAAAGACTCAGTCTCTACTAAAAATAGAAAGAAATTAATTGGCCAACTAAAAATATATAGACAAAATTAGCCGGGCATGGTGGCGCATGCCTGTAGTCCCAGTTACTCGGGAGGCTGAGACAGAAGGATTGCTTGAGGCCAGGAGTTTGAGGTTGCTGTCAGCCGACACCACGGCACTCTAGCCCGGGCAATAGAGTGAAGACTGTCTCAAAAAAAAAAAAAAAAAAGATAATTTCAAATTGCTCTTCTACGTTCATGAAATCAAGGTTACCCTAAGTACCAAAGAAAAGGTCAAATAATGTTTAATAATTTCCATGTACTTCAAACAATAATATTTCAACCAAGGAACCCTCTGCAACAATTCCCCACAATAAAAGTTTACTTTAAACCAATATTAATTTACATTTATCACAATAGTTAGTTGTATAAAAGTTCTGATGTTTGCATACTTTAACTCATCAGGATAAATCAACACGGTCACTTTAGCAAATGTGGCATTCCAGAAATGAGCACTCTGTTTTCGAATCTGTTTATTCTTGTGCAGAAATGTTATGCATAATAGTGGGGAGAGTTGTTCAAGAAGTTCACTGTCATATGTTCCAGTGTAGACGAATTGTAGACAAGTAATAATTTCTCCTAGTAGCTTTTCTAACTAGGAAAAAGGAAAAAAAAAAAGCAAAAAATATACTGAACATTAACTCACAGAACATGTTGCTATTTCAATTTTTAAAATTTGGATTTTAAACAAGCCTCTGTTGTCACCTTAAATATTTATCCCTCTTTATAAGTTGATAAACTATCAGGTAAATTTTCTTTAATTATTGATATTAAAGCTCAATTTTGAGCTTATTTTCCATTAACAGAAAAAAAATTTTGTTTTTACATCAATGTTAACAGGAATAGTTGCCTACACACATTTCACCTAGAAAACTTTGGGGCCAATTGTACTTACATATAAATAAGTTAGGAGGTAATGAATTAAATGTATTTAAATTACATCATTAAATCCTTCTAAAAAAAATCTACCTGTGAATGTGTCTATATCAAGTTATGAAATGTTCATTACAAATCAAGGATAATAACCCCCTTAAAATGAGCAGACTTAGGTTGAAGACAATTATCTAAACTCCACCATTTTTGCAACATGAAAGTATATTTTATGGACAATTGTCTATTTTTACCTTGTTGTTCAGAAAACTATACACTTTAGGAACTTCATCAAGCCTGGGAAGAAAAACACATAAAATAAAGTATCGTTTACATTTTAGGAAGTAAACACTATTTATCAAGCTAAACCTAAAAATAAGGAAAAAGCCATAAGAGATATGCATGTAGTGATACAAAAAGCTGTCCTAGGGCTTAATAAGTAATAAAAATAAATGCCAAATAGGCAGAAAACAAACTTGTCTTTAAAAAGTAAGAGTTCTTTTGTTTGTTTCACGGAAAATATAGGTCTCAAAGTACTCACACTAGTCACATGCTCCTGTACATTTCTTTAAGCATGAAGAATTCTTTATGAAATAAGAACTTAAAATTTGCAAAGAAAAGTTTGTGGATTTGGGGTTGCATTCTATACTTCATAAAATCTGTTTCTAAAACTCTGTGAGTTTAATTTATAAAAGATAGACTATATTATGACTGAACCATACAAGCCTGAATACTGAGGAATCCTCTCAAAATGGTACATTATTCAGGATTTTTTTCAGGTTTTAAGGCACTGCTTAGTTCAACTCAAATGTAAAGGGTAATGCAAAATCAAGTAAAACTTTTAGAGATTTAATTAAGAAACTTAAATGTGCATATCCTCTGAACCAACAGAAACTGGGTAAAAAGTTTAATGGAATCCTATGCAGACAATGAAAAGAATAAGATTCTCATGTAAATGGTACAAGAAGCATACAATATACCATTCACCCCTCAGTATCTGTGGGGGATTGATTCTAGTACCAATGTCCATTCTCTCGTGTACTTTAAATCATCTCTAGCATAGCTAATATAATGTAAATGCTATGTAAATAGTTGTTACACTGTACATTGAAATTTATATTATTTTTGTTATTTTTCTAAATATTTTCTATTAGGGGTCGGTTGACTCCATGGATGCAGAACCCACAGACACAGAGGGCCAACTGTATTAAGTGCATATCTCATATATACTTAATCGCAGAGTAACAAGTATGCTCTCATTATATATATTATGCATTTAATAGTTATGCTTGTTTGCCTAAGCAATTCTAAAAAGATTAGCTCTAAATAAAAAAGGGCAAGTGGAATACGTGCAAAACAAAAGTACTTCCAATTTCTATCTTATATTTCTATACTATTTGAACTATCTTTTTAACAAAAGCTTATTACCCTCTCCACAAAATTGTCAAGATTACCACTACTGTAACAAAAAAGCTGATAATAACAAAAGCGGCTACTTTTATTTAAGTTGAATATATTTAATTCAAAGCTAAATAACAAAAGCGGCTACTTCTATTTAAATTGAATATATTTAATTCAAAGCTACTAAGCCCAAAATACTTACTTTGAATTTTCACAAAGTAATGCCAGAGGTTGTGTTAAAGTTGCAAATATTTTTCGGATCATAGATGGCAAAGAAATACGTCCAAGTACACTGGAAAGAATGCTGGTGATTGAGTTGCCAATAGCGAAGAGGGTATCAGAATGTTCTTCCTTGAAGCTCAGAGTGTGGAAAGAATAGATCACTCTCACAGTAAGTTTAAATAAAGAAGTCAGTTTCCCTAAGGGCTCGTTCTTCTTTTTGGACCAATCTGAAGAAGGTCTCTGTGGTGCTAAGATAAAATTGAACTGATTAAAAACTCAAGTATATTGGAAATAGTGTCCACCTTTATAATTTATATCTCACATTTAATGCAAAATACATCAAATACATGTGCTTTTGTTGACTGATAGGCCAAAGAAATCTTAAAATAACATACTAATAACAGATAAATATCACTAGAACATCAACTTTATGAAGGAGAATGGGAGACAAAGAAAAACTATTTGCAGATCTAGAATAAGAATACAGGCCAGGCACTGTGGCTCAGGCCTGTAATCCTAGCACTCTAGAAGGCCAAAGTGAGAGGATCACTTAAGGTCAGGAGTTTGAGAGCAGCCTGAGCAAGAGGGAGACCCCGTCTCTACTAAAAATACAAAAAATTAGCTGGGCGTGGTGGCACATGCCTGTAGTCACAGCTACTTGCAAGGCTGCCTGAACCCAGGAGTTTGAGATTGCTGTGAGCTAAGCTGATGCCACGACACTCTAGCCTGGGCAACAGAGCAAGACTGACTAAAAAGAAAAAAAATTCAGAAAAAAGTCTTTTTTGTCTAAGGAATTATAAAATGCATTTCAAACTTTTATTTTCATATTTCTTAGAATTTCAACAACTAATTTGTAAAAAGTACTAAATGATATATGATAGGTTCCCGAATTAAATTTTAAAAGTTTTTAAAATAAGAAAAAAATGCCATTAGAAAATGGCTATTTCCTGGCTCATCTATAGTGCACTGATCCCTACAAACAATACTGAACAAGTCAGAGATCCAAGATTCTGAGAAAGAAAAAGTCTACTGTTTCCTAGGTTTCAAAAAAGATTTGTCTTAAAAGCACTGACTTTCCTTCCTACCCTTCTTAAAACATCTCTCTCTAGAGAAATACCTGCAGGAATAAACTTACATTTCTCTTGCCCAAAATATCATCTCCATTCCAAAATTACCTTTGTTTCTATCAAATAATCCACTCTTTTAAGGGAAGGGATTCTCAGATTTAAGAGAAAACTCTAATCCAGTGCTTGTTAATTAAAAATTAATCTCATGTGGTGAAATGAAAAACAAGTGTTGTTACTAGAAGGAAATCAACCTTTCTCCCTATAATCAATTTCCCAGATATGAATGTACATTAGAAAATAATACCCAGAAATTCTTGGACAGGATGTTGGGGCTGCGGTGACAGCTCAGGTGTCAGGATACTGGTTATACACATGTGACTGATCAACTTGCAAACAAATTGAGAGTAATGGCAACAAGTTTCTTCACTATTAGAAAAGGTAGATAAAAGCACAGAAAGCAGAATGACTAGCATAATCGATATGATATTAGATGGTACCTGGAGATGTATCTAGAGAAACAGGTAATAGCTATGTGATCACACACCCCTATTTGCCAGCTTTGTCCACTCAAGAGGATACAGAAACAATGACACCTTTGTAAGCAATGAAAAAAATCTTAGTTTCTAAATGTCATTCTCAGATAAAAAAGAACCACGTTCCTTGGAGAAATGGCCAATTCTAGGCTGCAGGCAAAGTATAAGAGGCTGAGTATCTTATGCCAATGTTCTCAAAGAATAATAGACATGTCAAAAGCTGTAAAGAGCCAATATGAAGGGTATCCTAGTGCCTAAATCCGGGACACCTTGGGCATTAAAATAAATTATAACAGTAATGGATTATAGCCTGCTGAATAAAATGGAAATCCAGGAGTCCACAGTGATAAAATAAAATAAATAGTGGGCATGGGAAGCTGTACCTTACATTACAATATTACATATACCTGGAAGGGATAAGTGTTGACTAATGCTCAATCCATAATTCTAGAATGATTATGGGAATATGAGACAACAAATTAAAACTAAGTACAGCATTTAGAATATAAGTGACACAACAGAGAGAAACACCTTGATACAAAAACCAAAACGAAACAGTATGAACCATCACTTCACAAATCAGTGTTTTAGACAAGAAGCATCAATGGATGATAAACTCATGGTTCACAGTTTGCTGAGGAACAGGGTATTTACATAGCCTCAAACTGCCACAAAACACTAATTTATTCATTATAAGTATTTATTGGCCGGGTGCGGTGGCTCACGCCTGTAATCCTAGCGCTCTGGGAGGCCGAGGCGGGTGGATTGCTCAAGGTCAGGAGTTCAAAACCAGCCTGAGTGAGACCCCGTCTCTACCATAAAAACAGAAAGAATTGGACAATATATATATATATATAAATCAGCCGGGCATGGTGGCTCGTGCCTGTAGTCCCAGCTACTTGGGAGGCTGAGGCAGGAGGATTGCTTGAGCCCAGGAGTTTGAGGTTGCTGTGAGCTAGGCTGACGCCATGGCACTCACTCTAGCCTAGGCAAGAAAGCGAGACTCTGTCTCAAAAAAAAAAAAAAAAAAAAAGTATTTATTACCTTTTCAGTGGAAAACCTGGAAGATACCATCTCAACCAAATAGTAAATGCTAACAAAACCCATAATGGGAAATAACGAATTGTAAAAGAACTACAGCATTACTTCTAAGGCATTCCCGTAAAGAAATGAACAAAACCTGAATCTAATATGGACTCTAAATAACGTTGCCTGAGTGGTCTGTGTTTGAAAGACAAAGACGACAAGACTGAGGATCTGTTCTAGGTTGTAGACCTGTCTGCTACATGCTTTCAAATGGTTCAGTGAAGAAGAAAAAAAAAGAATGAATAAAATGTATTCATGGTTCAGGGCAAGGGGTGGATAAGACAAACACAGTCAACTGTAAACTAAGAAATCTGAGTCACTGGGTAAGGTTGCTCACACCTATAATCCTAGCACTCTGGGAGGCCACGGCAGGAGGATAGCTCAAGGTCAGGAGTTTGACCAGCCTCAGCAAGAGTGAGACCCTTTACTCAAAATAGAAATTAGCTGGACAACTAAAAATATATAGAAAAAATAAGCTGGGCATGGTGACACATGCCTGTAGTGCCAGCTACTCGGGAGGCTGAGGCAGAAGGATCACTTGAGCCCAGGAGCTGGATGGTGCTGTGAGCTAGGCTGATGCCACAGCATTCTAGCCCAGGTGACAGAGCAAGCCTCTGTCTCAAAAACAAACAAACAAACAAAAAAACTAATCTGAGTAAAGGATATGAGGTTTTTATGTATAATTCTTGAAGTGTTTCTCTAAATTTGAAATTACCACAAAATAAGTCACCAAAAATCCCAAGGTGATCCCGATATGCAACCCTGAATAATGATTTCCTTTCGGCTAGTCATAGTAACTTCTTCCTGGCACATTTTATAAATCTCCCCATTCCATGAATTTAAACAGCAAGAGAACCCCTGTTCCAAACAGACACAGAGTAAAAAAGATAAGACACATTTGTAGCTGTGTGTTTACAGATCATGGATCAGATATTCAGTTAAATCTAACTTTTCAGAAGTACCAGCATAGGTAAAATTATGTCAACATGGACTCGTCATCTTGGCCCTATGAAACTTCAGTGGCTTACAAAATAATTTGTGATGTCATTTGTTATACCTTTTTATAGCTATGGTATTCAGAGATAATTCTATTTCTCTGACACAGTGGTCCTAGGTCCTAGTCAGCCCAAGAGAAGAGCTGAAATCAGTATGTCAAGCACATCCATAACCTACTTCTGTGCATTCAGGATAGGATGCTGTGACCTATAATATACTTCAGGAACTTAGCATGTTACTCTATATTTCTATTTAGTAAAAACTCAAAAACAAACAAATAAAAAACTTCTATAAGTACTGTATGTTTTAGAAATCTTTAATTCATCAATGATAGGTCTTATTAGTGGAAAATTGAGTATTTTCCTAATCTTTAAACAGAAAAAATAATATATATAAACATCAACTAATGTATTTCATTATGGCAAGTTATAATTTCCTATATGGTATGAATATATAAACAGAAATGGATAAGTTCTACTTCAAAGAATCAACTAGTAGATTAAAACAGATCAGTATTTACTACAAAATAATTTAAAACTAACCACCGTATGTTTTAAAGATCAGACTTGTTACAATTCCAATTGTCCAATTTTTTAAAAATGATAAAAAGTTAAATTTTTAGAATTTTAAATTTCCTATAAAATAACCAATTAACTGATTCTATATTTCCTTTTCAATTTTAATGTCAATTCAACACTTACTTTCAAATCAGGTTTCCAAATAAAAACATTTTAAATAATGTCTAAATTTCTTGTCCAGATATTCCCTCATATCAAATGAAATGAGTACATTTATATTAGGCAACCTCTAATTAGAATAATACTTATATTTCTGTGTTGCTAAAAAAATAAGTAGAGATATCATGTGTGTGTGAGAAACAGAGAGAAAACAAGAACATGTATACAAACTCCTAGCATAGTAACTGACAAGGCTAACAAGATCAAAAGTTAGTAAAATGAGGTGGGAAATATCATTAGGATTTTCCCTGACAACAGTTTAGTAGTGTTTATGAAATATTAGGTGACACACAACAAATAAATATAAAAAAAAAACTTACATTTAACTTTGGGCTGATATTTAATATCATATGGTGAGAAGTCGATGCAATCAAACATTACAGTAACAATATGAATGATCCTATCCAAGAACAACAAATTCTAGAGAAGAAAAGTACGCACTGTAATTAGAAACATTCAACTACTGGCATAGTATTCAATAATAGTAAGCAACAAGAAAAAGTGTAATACTTTTATTACCACAAGTATCACAAAACACATGCATAGCTTATACAAGTCACATGTTGTTTAACAAGGATATGTTTTGCATAATGTGTCATTAGGTGATTATGTCCTTGTGGGAATATCAGAGTGTACTCACACAAACCTAAATGGCATAGCCTACCCCACACCTAAGCCAGACTTCCAAATTTTAAGTTCTTATTTCATCAAGAATAGTTCATGCTTAAAAGAAGTACACAGGAGCAAGTGACCAGTGTGAGTACTTTGAGATTTATATTTTCTGTGAAACAAACAAAAAAACTTTTAAAGATAAGTTTGTTTCCTGCCTATCTGGCACTTTTTTATTACTTGTTAAGCCTAAGCCTTGGGACAGCTTTTTGTATCACTACATGCATATCTCTTATTATGGCTGTATTATCTTATTTTTAGGTTTAGCTTGATAAATAGTGTTTACTTCCTAAAATATAAACAGTACTTTATGTTTTTCTTCCCAGGCTTGATGAAGTTCCTAAAAAGTGTATAGTTGTCTGAACAACAAGGTAAAAATAGACAACTGTCCATAAAACATACTTTCATGATGAAAAAATGGTGGAGTTAAGATAACTGTCTTCTTTAAACCTGTCTGCTCATTTTAAGGGGGTTATTATTCTTGATTTGTAATGAACATTTCGTAACTTGATATAGACACATTCACAGGTAGTTTTTAAAAGAATTTAATGATATAGTTTAAATACATTTAACTCATTACCTCCTATCTTATTTATACGTAAGTACAATTGGTTCCAAAGTTTTCTAGGCAACTATTTCTGTTAAATTGACGTAAAAACAAATTTTTTTTTCTGTTAATGGAAAATAAGCTCAAAATTGAGCTTTAGCCCAGGAGTTTGAGGTTGCTGTGAGCTAGGCTGACACCATGGCACTCTAGCCCGGGCAACAAAGTGACTCTGTCTCAGGAAGAAAAAAAAAACAAAAAAAAGCCAACAGAATGTTTTATGAAAACTTGCATAAATAATTTCAGAATACAATAGGATTTCGTTGGCAAGAATACTGTACTCATATTCATACACATATGCAATTATGTAAAGTACATGTATAAATACAAAAGGTTTACTCTAGAATGATATCTTTATTGAGGGAAGGAAGGAGTAAAAAGAGATACTTTTAAGACTATAAACTTCCAAAGGGACTGACTTCAAAGGTCTAACAGACAAATATCAAGAAAGTGAGGTCCAGGACACCAAGAGTCTTGTGCTGTTAATCTAGAATGGCATAAGCACAAGGAAGTATACAGTAGAGCAATAAAAGATCCTGACTGTTAATGATCCCGAAACATGAACCTTAAAGCTGAAAGATACAATATTGTCTCACACAGCCGTATTTGTTTTCAATACTAACTTAGTCACTTATAAAACAGAAGCATTAGCGATAGTTCACAAATGTTATCTCAACTGACTTAAGAAAGAATCCTTTAAATTAAAAACAATAACAACAAAAAGGCAGTACTATGACAAAACTCACTGAAAGGCCTTCATCTTCCAAACTGGACATTATCTTGGAGCAAAGTTCCTCACAGCACAAATTCTCTTCTGCTGTTGCCACCAAAGCAGCACAGCGAGCAAATGCTCTATATAATTCTGACCAAGTTCTAAGCAAGGTCTTCATAGTGGCCTAATAATAAAAATAAAAAAGAAATTTCATAAATGTATACCTATGTATCAAACTGACAGTATCAATACATCTTTAACATTTTTTAAAAACAGTGGAAGATTTATTGTGTCACAGAAGAGGTTAACATAGGGTCATAACACCCCTTCCCTAGTTCTAATTGAAAAGATGAAATAATGCCAAAAACATCAATAATTATCAAAGGTCCAAAGAAACTTTTCTCTCCTTTCACCATTTCTCTTTCTCCTAAGCTAATAACAAAATCATAAGGAAGTCTTATTTTAGGAAAAATTACTATAGAAATTCATTATAAAAAGTGAAATATTTCCAAAAAAGCACAAATTCCTTACACATAAAAACTTGACAATGCCTTACCACTGGAAATTTCTGTACTGAAAAAATATGGTTTATTGGTAAAATCAATGCAGAATAGATGGCACTAAAATTATGTTCTAAGGCATCACCTTGATTCACTTCATTGGTCTGAAATAAGAAAAATAATGAAGTTAGACAAATTATCATCTAATTCTAATCCTAAGTAGTAACATAACATATATAGTAGGTATAATTGTGTCTCCCAACGAGGAGATATTCAAGAGATGTTGAACTACTAACCCCTAAAACCTGGGAATATGACCTTACTTGGAAATAAGCTCTTTGCAGATGTAATCAAGTTAAGATGAGTCATACTGGATTAGGGCAGGCCCAAATCCAATGAATAGCGTCCCTATAAGAAAAATCTGGATTGACACAGGGATGACTGCCATGTGAGTGAGGATGGACTCAGAAATTCAAGTGATGTGGCTACACGCTACAGAAGGTCAAGAATTGCCAGCAACCACCAACTGAGAGGCATACATTAGCCTCACAACTCCAGAAGAAACCAATCCTACTTATTAACACCTTGATTTTGGATCTCTGGTCTCCGGAACTGTGAGAATAAATCCCTGATATTTTAAGCTATGAGTTTGTGGTAATTTGTTAATTAACAGCAACCCCGGGAAAGTAACGTGCTATGTTTTAGTCCTAAAAAAGAATCCCAGAGACTCTGAAATCTTCTACTAAACATACATAGTATTCAAGCAAGGACTTAAAAAATAAAGGGTTTTTGCTATCATTCCTACAGCGGGAAGCTACTGAGGAATGTAAACCATTTTTCTTCCAGAAGAGTATGTTTAATAGTGTGCTACCTTGAGTCGCCAAAACAAGGGCTACTTCACTAAAAAGTAAAAAATTTCTTTGATGATTTGTGTATTGATTTTGGGGAAAAAAAATATCTTTGAAGTCTTCATTTCACTTTTCAGTTACAGTGGAATCAGCTGGAGAATACACACTTCCAATTAAAGACTGATAAAAAAGCTAAAAATCATGAATAGGGACAGGACTTGTGCTTCGTTCCCTGTCGATTTTTTAAGTATTCAAATGTATAAATTAGTGAACCCCTTTTTTTTTTCTGAGTCAGAATCTCACTCTGTTGCCTGGGCTAGTGTGCCATGGTATCAACCTAGCTCACAGCAACCTCAAACTCCTGAGTTCAAGAGATCTTACTGCCTCAGCCTCCCAAGGAGCTAGGACTACAGACATGCGCCACCATGCCTGGCTAATTTTTTCTATATGTATTTTTAATTGGTCAATTAATTTCTTTCTATTTTTAGTAGAGACTGGGTCTCACTCTTGCTCAGGCTGGTTTCAAAATCTTGACCTTGAGCGATCTGCCCACCTTGGCCTCCCAGAGTGCTAGGATTACAGGCATAAGCCACCACACCGGACTGAATTAGTGAACTCCTAAGAGATTCTTGACTTAGGGAGATACTATATAGCTCTGAGGTAATGAGCAACATGGGAATATACAGCCGAGTCAAGATGCAGAGTGTTGGCCAAGCACGGTGGCTCATGCCTACTAATATAATCCTAGCACTCTGGGAGGCTAGGGTGGGAGGACTGCTTAAGCTCAGGAGTTTGAGACTAGCCTAAGCAAGAGTGAGACCCCATCTCTACCAAAAATAGAAAAAATTAGTCAGGCATGGTGGCCCACACCTGTATTCCCAGCTACTTGGGAGGCTGAGGCAAGAGGATTGCTTGAGCCCAGGAGTTTAAGGTTGCAGTGAGGTATAATGACACCAATGAAGCATGGGGTGGTGTGGAGGTCACACAGCTAGATTGTGTCTCAAGGGGGGAAAAAAAAAGACCACTGTTATTATCACCTGTGAGTACAACTACTGAAAGAAGTGAATATATAAACAAGAGAATGTATGCATATTATGTGTGAGCCTTCTAGTTTTATAATCATCACTGGAGGAAATGAACCTGATTAGTCCCCATTAAGTTATACTTTATCAGTAAGCAGAAATGCAATGAAATCAATCCAAAGAGATGATGATTTACCGATTCCACTAGAAAAAAAATATTTAAACATCATCTATTTACATTTGAACTTCTATTCATTTCCCCATCGTCTCCAATAAGAAATAAAGGGGACCCCCATAATATGCCGGGAAAAAAATAAAAAGAAATAAAGGGGAAATATTCTCTAAATTTTGGGGGAAATATGCAGCAGACTTACAGCATACCTGATTAATCAATTCAGTTAGTGGGGTGACTATAATACTCCACATTCTCCAGAGATGCTCCTTGTTTTCCACTTGCTTTGCATTTTGATTAATAACATTTAAAACAGAGTCACTGAAAGCTAATGGTGAAGTTGGACCAGAAAGAACACAGCTTACAAGTGCTTCGAGATTGAGAAAAAACCTGAAGAAAAAATTATGAACAATGCATTAACCTGTACTTTTTTGCAGAAATACATTAACTGAACTATAACAAAATTCTTAAAATAGTAACTGACAGAGAAACAAAAAAATGATAAATTCTAAAAAGTCAGTTTGATTTTTAAAAACTTATGAAATTGTTTAGAAATCTCATTTATTACGCACTTTTCCATTGAAAATACAAGCTTACCTTTCATCTGCTATACCACATTCCAAGAGACTGTTGAAAGTTAACTGAATTAAGAACAAAGCTGGAGTCCCCTGAAGAAGAAAATGAAGTCTTCTTAGTTACAAAAAATAGTATACTTGTTTTCTACAATCAGTTATGTAAGAAATACAATTTTTACAGCATGAGTGAGAGATTTAACTTTTGCATTACTTAGGATATTACAAAAATGATAGTAAATTTATTTCCTAAAACTACACACAAAAATTCAGTCCTTTATATTCCTATCATGGCTGATTTCCTCTACATGAGAAATCAAGAAATGGTGAGAGATTCCAGATATAAAAACATTAACTTAAAATTGCTAGACCCACAATACCTACATCTCATATATAGTAATTTTACACATTTTACATTATTAAGTTAATGTTCTTAAAGAGTTGCCAAAACTTATAATAGTAACTAGTGCTATTATTACATATAAACAAATAGAAAATATTCCTTCTAGAGTCTTTTATAGAAATAAGGAAAATATTTTCATTCGCATAGCACCATATTATTTAATTCTTCATTAACTTATTACTTTGTCTATCAAGTTTTCCTTTTAGTCAACATATTTTAAATCCACTACTCTCAGAATTTTATAAGTATCACTTTTTTTTAAAGAAAGGGAAATATAAAAACTTTTTTTTGGCCAATCTTTGTATCATTACATTTAAGATACTTGCATTAAGAATATCCATATTAGCAACCTGATATGCTGGTGAACCTAATACTTTCTGAGGAAGTCCTTTAATGGTAATTTCCATGAGGACCTAAGAAAGAGAAAAGGTTTTACAGTAAATTAGCCATAAAAATATTACTTTCCTCAGTAAAAGTCTGCTATAGTGTTAACTATTTTTAATTTAACAATTTATTACAAATATTGTCCACTCATTAATCAAAATATATCCATTAACACGAATATATTCACATAAGTTTAAGTTCAAACACAGAAATATAGAAAGTAAAACAAGAGAGTCCTTAATCTCCAGGGATAATCAATGCTTTGAGTTTGGAGTCCATTTTCCTAGCTCTTCTAAATTTCCATATATGTAAGTATACAGAGAAACACCTAACTTCCTTGGGCTGTTATACATTCTTTTAAACTGTTAATTAAGATATATTTTGTGTAGGGCCAGGCGTGGTGGCTCACACCTATAATCCTAGCACTCTAGGAGGCCAAGGCGGGAGGATTACTCAAGGTCAGGAGTTTGAAACCAGCCTCAGCCTGAGCAAGAGCGAGACCCTGTCTCTACTAAAAATAGAAAGAAATTAATTAGCCAACTAAAAATATATATAAAAAATTAGCTGGGCATGGTGGTGCATGCCTGTAGCCCCAGCTACCTGGGAGGCTGAGGCAAGAGTATTGCTTCAGCCCAGGAGTTTGAGGTTGCTGGGAGCTAGGCTAATGCCACGGCACTCTAGCCTAGGCAACAAAGTGAGACTGTGTCTCAGGAAAAAAAAAAAAGATATACTGAGTGTAAATCACTGATAACAAATTTGAAACTGACCTTTAATTTTCCTTTGTTATAGAGTTTTGCCATCAATATATGTAAATATCACTATATGAATGTCCATAATTAATTCTGTTAATGGACCTTGAGGCTATTTTTATACTACTGAAAGAAATTCTGCAATGAATTAAATAATTCCCAGTACCTGAAGCAAATATTCAAAAGATTACTAACTAAAAGTTGTTTCTAAGACTGCTAACTCAAAATCTGGCTAAGCCAATCAAACTGCCCTCCAAAAATATTGTAATGCTGGTCAAGGGTCATAACAATATGGCAAAGGGTTATGTTAGTAAAAATATGCTTTCACATACTATCATTTGAAAGACACTAATGGTAACAATAGATGGCATTTATTTTGTGCCTGGCCCATAGTACTTTGAATGTATCAATTAATTTAATCTTTAAGGCAACTATTGCTATGTTCACTGTTTACAAATGAGGTAATATAAGGCCAAGAGAATAAAGTGACCAAATTCACTCACCTAACAAATAGTTGGGCCATGATTCAAACTAGTCTGCTCTAGGGCCTTTGCTATTAATTTCTATGCTATACTGCCACAGAACATATAATTGTCAAGTATATAAAATAAACAGAATCAAAAAGAATTTAAATAGAGTATTGTTTGTTCCATCTGCAGCTTATTTTGGGAGGCTCACATTATAAAAATTATATCCAATTCACTTTTATTTCTCTACTATATAGACTAAAAGATGTTTAATATCTAAATCATTATCTTGGTTAAGGAGAGTTAATTTAAAACAACGTACCAGCTAATTATTATTGGTGCTCAACAATCTTGTCATAAAATTATCAAACATTTTAGTTTCTTTAGTTCAAGTTTCATAGCCTTTACCTCATTTTCTCTGTATGGCTGACTCTTTTTCTTATCATTTTAAAGATTTTTGTAGAAGATTTTTGTACTTACTGTTATTGTCATTTACTTTATTAAAAAGGTCGTGAGTGACTCTAAAGTCAACATAAGTGAATAATGGTATTTATTACCACAGGGCTAAATTGGAGATAAATATTTGATATAAAAAATGTCTTTCCTGGCACAGCACGGGAGCTCACACCTCTAATTCTAGCACTTTGGGAGGCTGAGCTGAGAGGATTGCTTGAGCTCAGGAGTGAGGCTACAGTGAACTATGATGACTGTATTCCATGCTGGGAATCAGTGAGACCTTGTCTCTATTTTTTAAAAAAAAAAATCTTCCCAAACTTAACCTGTACAGTATCTTCAATGTAAAATTCAATCTCAGAATATAGTTTTTAATGTCCAACATATAGGTATTGTACTCACCAGTGTTTTGGACACAGGAAATACTTCAGACTTGACTATGCTTTCCAAAGATTTTATTAAGAGGGTCAAAACTTCAGAACCTGGTCTCTCTTTTTTGTTACCTATCAAAAAGCAAAAGGGTGTAGTATTTTTAGTGGTGAATATATGCACTTAGCTATAAAAAATTATTTTTTACTAAAATCAACAATAAGTGCTTTATTCAAAGTACAGTTGATCTTTAAACAAGCTTGACCTGCATGGGTCCACTTATACTCAGTCTTTCTTCCTTCTCCACCACCCCTGAGACAGCAAGACCAACTCCTCCTTTTCTTCCTCCTCCTCAACCTACTCAACATGAAGACTTTTATGATAATCTGCTTCCACTTAATAAACAGTAAATATATATTCTCTTCCTAAGAACATTTTAAAATTTTACATTACTATAAGGATATGGTATGACATACAAAATATGTTAATCAACCTTTGATGTTATTGGCAAGGTTTCTAGTCAATAGTAGGCTATTAGTCATTAAGTTTTGGGGGAGTCAAAAGTTATATGTGAATTTGACTGCATGGAGGTAGGATACCCCTAAACCCAGCACCATCCAAGAGTCAACTACAGGCTGGGCACAGTGGCTCACGTCTGTAATCCTAGCACTCTAGGAGGCCAAGGCGGGAGATCACTCAAGGTCAGGAGCTCAAAACCAGCCTGAGCAAGAGCGAGACCCCGTCTCTACTAAAAATAGAAAGAAATTAATTGGCCAACTAAAAACATATAGGAAAAATTAGCCAGGCATGGTGGCACATGCCCGTAGTCCCAGATACTTGGGAGGCTGAGGCAGAAGGATTGCTTGAGCCCAGGAGTTTGAGGTAATTATGAGCTAGGCTGATGCCACAGCACTCTAGCCTAGGTAACAGAGTGAGACTCTGTCTCAAAAATAAATAAATTAATTAAAAAGTCAACCATAAATTAAATTCTGGAAGCTATGATACTATATAAAGATTTAAAAATACATTTTATATATGAAAGCCAAACAATTCACTGGATGCTATAAAAATCATTTATCATTTGATGAGTACAACTGTGCGTACCTGATTCAGTAACTGACTTCACCAAGCTAATGAGCTCCTTCCAGATAGCATTGACAACTGCATCTGTCAAACCAAATAAACTTGAGTATTTTTAATAAAGTACATAGGACTAACAAAGACTCTCTCTTTTGTTCCTTATACTAAAGAAATAACAAATTGAACTTAATTTCCCTTGTGATATTTAACACTTTAATAAGTTTATAAAACATTATCACCTCATTTCTGTCTAAAACAATTAAACATGTTTTTTAAAAGGACTATAACATGTTAACATTGGGTTGTACAACTAAGGGTTATTGCTTTGTCTTTTTCCCATCATCTTTATTTCCTGAATTTTCTGTATTGAATAACTATCACTTTTCAGATAAGGAAACAAAGATTCAGAAGGATCTCTGACAACCAATAGCCAAACATTATGTGATTCATAATCAAATCAGTTAAATAGCAAACTATTTTGAAATTTCTGTTCCTCACTATTTGATACACCACAGAACAAAGAGGTTTAGATGCAGATGCTGGAGCCACAGACTCCACAGGTAGAGCATGAATCATATAGCTCTACCATTGACACTATGAGACTTTGCATAAGTTATTTACTTCTCCCATACAACCCAGTTTCCCCATTTGCAAAACAGACTAACAAAGAAGATTGCTGTATTAAATGAATATATGTAAAGCTGTTGTTGTACAACCTGCCCAATAAAGTGGTATCATATAAGTATCTGCTACATTTATCTTCCTTTTAAACACAACTTTGAACAAATGATTTAAAAATTTCTCTTAAATATTTACCAGAGGCATCTTTTCCAACTGCAACAAAGCTATCATGAACAGCAGTGATAAGTATATTTGCATGTTTGGAAAAAAAAGAAGGGCTGCTGATTAACGGATGTTCAAGTGGCTCTGAAAGAGGAAGAAAAGAGGACGATTATGCAAAACAAAAACATTTCTTACTATAAAATTTTAAATCGTCTATTAAGAGATGTGTTTTCTATTTAAAAGATTCATACTTATTTCATTCACTATTATAAAAGCATTTTGGCTATGGGGAAACTAACACTTTTCCTCAACCTAACACATTGAGTTCTGGACTGGCTTTTATTTTTTTTTGAGACAGAGTCTCTGTTGCCCAGGCTAGAGTGAGTGCCGTGGTGTCAGCCCAACTCACAGCAACCTCAAACTCCTGGGCTCAAGCGATCCTCCTGCCTCAGCCTCCCAAGTAGCTGGGACTACAGGCATGTGCCACCATGTCCGGCTAATTTTTAGATATATTAGTTGGCCAATTAATTTCTTTCTATTTATCGTAGAGACAGGGTCTCGCTCTTACTCAGGCTGGTTTCGAACTCCTGACCTTGAGCAATCCGCCCACCTCGGCCTCCCAGAGTGCTAGGATTATAGGTGTGAGCCAGGCCTGGACTGTTTTTAATAACTGAAATTAGGTTGCCATGGTGGCTCACACCTGTAATCCCAGAACTTTGGAAAGCCAAGATGGGAGGATTGCTTGAAGCCATGAGTCTGAAACCAGGCTGGGCCACACAGAGATCACATCTCCACATTAGAGACCTTATCTCTCTAAAATTAAAAATTAGCCAGGAGTGATGGTGCATGCTGCTAGCCCTAGAGTTTAGGAGTTCAATGCTATGATCCCACCCACTACACTACAGGCTGGGAGACAGAACAAGACTGTCTTTAAAAACTTAAAAAATAAATTATTTTTAAAATATTTAAATACCTAGGCTCAGTACAAGTTTGTTGTGCTTAGCAAAATTCAACACTTCTGGACCCAACAAAAAATGAAGCAACATTTCAAGTCCCAGAAGTTGAATGGAAGGAATCGCAGCCATTCCACCTAAATTCGAACTCAAGTTCATTCTGGGAGTTACAGGGGTTCCATATGGGGAGGAAGCACCTTTAAAAAAAAGAAAGGGTAAGTTATATAAGCGTATTGCATATTAGCTACTCAAATGCATATATTTTATTTCAATAAAATATACCTTGAAATATTTTTAGTTTGACTTTCTCAGGCATTCATTAATCTTGAAATATTAATATGCAGGCCTTACTGTAACTTAAATATAAAAATTTAAAGACTCAGAATGACATAAAATAAATAGCAAATAACTGTCTTTTAATAGGAGACATACTAACCCATATTTCTTGTATCTGCCGTATTAATTTTATTAATAGCACTAAGATTCTGGTTCTGACACCAACAGAATTTCATGTTAGCCATTCTGAACTATTTGTTTGTAATGTGCTTCATATACTGTGGCAGGAAAAACATTAATCTTTTCTAACCATAATAGTACACTCATAACAGTAAGTAGTAACAAACAAACAAGAACATAGACTTTTTGATAAGGGACCTAAAAATTATGAAGTCCTTCATTTCATGTGAAAAGCACTGAGCAAAACCTCTAGAAGCCTTTGTAAAAGAGGAAAAAACCCAAGAATGTCGATTGCTTACCTTTGTGTACAGGAGTCATAGGATTTAACCCTGGAGAAGTAGCTACACGAGATGAATTGCCTTGAGGTAAAGCATTAGAATCAATGCTTATAGTGTTTTGTATCAGAGGCACACAAACCTATTGGGGTGAAAGTAGGGAAAACAATTGTGGTATTTTAAAAAAGTTTTGCATAATACAAATTTCTTTAAAAAGCAATCTTAATTGTCTTGATATACTGAATTTGAGTAGTTGTTTTCATGCACAAACAGGCTAAAATAAATGAAATTTAGGAAAATGAAAATTTCCATTACTATTTTATTTGCCCTAAATGTGTATTATCTGTATACACAAAAACAACTTTTGCAAATAATGTCTGAGTTTTACACATTAGCAGATTCATTTTAACTTTTATAAAACACACTGTAAAAATATGAACTAAGACAACTGAAAGCTCTTTTCTTTTTTTTTTTTTTTTTTGAGACAGAGTCTCACTTTGTTGCCCGGGCTAGAGTGAGTGCCGTGGCGTCAGCCTAGCTCACAGCAACCTCAAACTCCTGGGCTCGAGTGATCCTTCTGCCTCAGCCTCCCGGGTAGCTGGGACTACAGGCATGCGCCACCATGCCCGGCTAATTTTTTATATATATATATCAGTTGGCCAATTAATTTCTTTCTATTTATACTAGAGACGGGGTCTCACTCAGGCTGGTTTTGAACTCCTGACCTTGAGCAATCCGCCCGCCTCGGCCTCCCAAGAGCTAGGATTACAGGCGTGAGCCACAGCGCCCGGCCTGAAAGCTCTTTTCTAAAATCATTCTAGTACCAATCACATCTAGTCATTGAATATACTATTTCAATCAATGTGTTGGACAAATGGATAAGATTAGCCTATTAGAACCTTTATAAGGGTAGAATTTGGAAAACTCATTATGATCCCAATTACATATTAATAGCAATGTCCCTCCTCAATTATTTCATGTTATATCAAATTTAAAAGCCTCAATATATTAAAAAATTAAGAATTTACTAAAATGACTCAAGTACATTTATCATTAAAGTCCCCCTTTCCAAAATGCATTAAGATAAGGACTTCCTATCAGAACTACCCCTTTTAATTTAACTGTAAAAAAATTCAGAAACCAAGGATGAGAATGATTGCTGAAAAAGGGTTTAGGTAAGATTAAACTTTATATCTAAATACCAGTAAGGATATCAAAATCCAAAGAAATTCATAAAATCATTTTCTAACAATTAAAAAAAACACAATAGAATTAAATGGTTATCACAATGTAGCCTAGAAAAAAGAGAAACAAAAAATAAATAAGAATTGATCAAATTTGATTATCTCTCTAGTGTAGAACTTGATTTCTGTTTCACTAATGTTGATTTTACTCTCAATTATACTCTAAACTCTCTGGGGAAAAAGTCCTTTTAAAAAATCATTATGCTTCTAGAGTAAGAATAGATATTTGAGTGTTTGCTGATTAAAAAGGCTTTAGTAAAGGCATTCCATTTCAGGCAACTGAAAAATATCCTTTGCAAGAAATGAAGTTCTATGCCAGGAAAAAGATCTTTTATATATTGTAGTCTCCTAATACTTAGTAAAAATTGGCAAGAATTTAAGAACACATTAATTAAAAAACACATAGAGTATTACAGTCAACACTTGTAATGTTACCTGTTCAAAATTAGCAGGAAGATGAGGTCCAAGTCTCATCAGTAAATACCACCAGACTTCTAGTTTTGTTAATGCTAGAGTTTCTGTTCTTACATGGATGGAACTCAAAGGCTGCATTAACAACTTGAGTCTTTTTGCACTACATAGTATATCTTAAAAGAAAATAAGCACAAGTAAAAGACTTAAGAGCTAAAGGTAAGTTTTAAAAATGAGCTAAGCAACAGTCTCCTTTTACCATAGCAAGAGATTAAAAAACTAAAAAATCACCAGGTGGTTCTTGCACTACCAAAAATTTTCACTTAGACAAACTCCAGTACAGATGGATCAAAAACACTTCATAAGACAACAGTATACTTATAAAAGCATTAAGTATATTTATTAGACATTGTGTGCCTGGGGTGATTTTCCCACTAGGGGACATCTAGCAATGCCTACAATTACTTTTGCTTACATCTAAATGAATGCTGACTTTTAGTCAGTAGAAACCAGGAATACCGCTAAACTTCCTACAAAACCCAAGACGGTCCCCCAAAACAAATTATCCAGCACAAAAATGCCAAAACTTTAAGAAATACTGTCCTAGCTGCTTTAGCATTCTAATTTTCCCCATCTGACAAAGAAATGTAGGCATAATTATAAATTATGTCAAAAAAGCCTATCATTTAAAAAAAAATCAATTAGTCATTTACTTTATCAAACTATAGTACTGTCTGGCCACTGATTCCATTTTGAAATCTAAATAGATTTATTTAGATTTAAGTCTGCCTTACCTCAATAATGAGGTTTTTAAAATTTAGCATAAAAATTAAATCTAATTTTTAAACATTTATACCAGAAGTATACTGTATGAACAGGACTGGGGAATCAAAATTAACAGTCTATTCTATGCTCAAGTAACTTATCAAAAAGACTTGAAAAGGATTTTGAAATATCAGTCAAGTCATATATTTGGTAGAATGGCATTCATTAGTGTTTCTTACAACTATTCTGCCACTTAATCTATTTTGATTAACATTTCTGTAAGAAAATAAAGTCAGATCACTATGCGAACAAGTCCTCCAATCAGAGACACTTTTTTTGACTCCTATTCATGAGAGGGACTCCATAATATCCCTGCAGTAGTAAAGATTACTAGTTGCCATGCAATAAACCAGTCTGCTTTTATTACAAAACCTGATTTTACTCAGGACAGTGATGGGTGCCCAATTTTTTACTTCTTTTTCTAGTCTGCCATTAAGCCATTCTACCCAATGAGATTTAAGTGCAAGTGTGTGTGGGGCTCTTTATAGGTAGCTGACCCAGCTGGGAAGAGGTCCTTTCTGCTCTTCTGCCTTTCCTCCCTTCCCATAGTCTGCATTTAAGGCATACTGAAGATGACAGAACAAAAAGATGGCCATCTCATTCCCTGATGACTTCCTGAATCCAAACTGGTCACAGACTCTCTAGCTCTGGACTTATTTCAAACAAGGAATTTCATTTACTTTCTTTGAGCCATTTCTATTTTATGCTTTAATATGCAAACATACATAATCCCAACAGATTTTAGTTCTTAATATTACTTCACACTGCTGGGTATATAAGATATACCCAAATACTTGTCTGCTCATAAACTAAAAAAAGGTGACATTTTCAGTTAAAAATTATTTCCAAAAACGTACTTTTATCAATATTTTTAATAAAATCATGGTTAATGCAAATAATCATCTTCCAAAACACTAAAAATGGGAAGAAAAGGATTACTAATAGTCTTTGGCAGGAAAAAACATAGGACTAAAATCAACATTATTCAGCAGATCTTGTAAACATACAATATTGACTATTAAATCCACAATTAACTACCACCTAGTTAAGTACTCATACTAACTTTTGAGCTGAATACTCTGACTTATAAATGTATTATCAAACTCCACTGGACAAGACAGGTTAAGGTAAACCAAAAGGAATCACTTCCATATATTAACGTTAACCCACTACTGGGTACTTTTTTAGAGATTCTGAAAGAAAAAAGGTCACCAGTCACTGATACTTTTATTCCATGGCAAACACAATTGTTTCCTATCATCTACTGGCTATGTGTCCTTTGATAAATTTATCTCTCTAAAATAGCAGTCATACTTGTAGCTCAGATCCACTGTTAAGATTAAGATGTGCACAAAGTACTCAACTTAGCGCTCACAAAGTCACAAATGGCATTTTTCATTTTGGTTTAAAATAATGTTAAACAAATTTTACATTTGTGTTTTTCAATGTCTAGTCTTTGAATTCTATTTTCACTACAAATTTATTCTTGTTCCCTCAAAATAAATTCAGTGATAGCTAAGTTTCAATAAAAAGTTGAAAGAATCAGAAAAGCTTCATGTTTTTATCTTGCTTAAGTAAAATCAATTTATAGAAAAATCAGAATAGGTAGAATATTTACTTACCTGGATTTAAAGCAAAATTATCTATTAAACTTTTCCAAGCAATAAAAGCTATTTTTTTAATCATGGGTGCTCCACTACGAAATCCCAGTTCTTCTAGTTGTAACAGAGAATTGATGAAACTCCCACTTCGATGCAAAGTCTAAAAAAAGAAAATAATTAAAAAGTTATTTATCTGCATGAAACAAAGGCATTATTATCACTCATTTATCTATTCATTCATTCAACATGCTCTCAGGACCTTGTAATCTAACAGAGACACAAAAGACAAATTACTCACAAAACATTAAAAGACGTGTTAAGTGTTATAACAGATATGTAAAGTCTCAGGTATTTAAGAAAATACTGAACTCTATACACATTCAAAATTCAGTATCAAAAAATTGGCTGGGCCTGACTGTAATCCTAGCACTCTGCGAGGCTGAAGCGGGAGGATCACTTAATGTCAGGAGTTTGAAACCAGCCTGAGCAAGAGCGAGACCCTGTCTCTACTAAAAATATAGAAAGAAATTAGCCAGACAACAAAAAATACATATAGAAAAAATTAGCTGGGCATGGTGGTGCTTGTCTGTAGTTCCAGCTACTCGGGAGGCTGAGGCAGGATTGCTTGAGCCCAGGAGTTTGAGGATGCTGTGAGTTAGGCTAACGCCAAGGCACTCTAGCCATGGCAACAGAGCCAGACTCTGTCTTAGGGAAAAAAAAAAATTCAATATCAAAAACATAAAGCTCGATGAAGAGAACATCTCTAAAACATTAAATTAATAAGGTAGATAAATCCAAACTTTATCAAGGTAACACCAAAGAAAACATATTTATATGAAAAAATATAATCAATTTAGAGAAAAATGTTGAAACTTAAAACTAATAAAAACAACCTTTTCAAACAGACTGACATAGGAAAGAATACTGATTAAAGATCCAAACTTATGAATGAAAAAGAAATGTAGAAGATGGTAACATTTGATAATAAAATGGCAAAAATGAGATAAAAATCAAGAAAACTGGATAACTGTTAAAATAGTTAAAAATATATGATTCAAATGGGAATACTAAAATAGTGTAAAATGTAAAAATGACAAGTAAATGATATATCACAAGAAAAAATTACATAAACATTAACAGTCCTAAGAGTCTACAAAGCACATATAATCTTCACAAAATATAAGTAACAAAAAAAAACCTGACTTTGAAAATAACAAAGAATCCACAAGAAAACTCCTAGATCTAATAAACAAATCCAGCAGAGAACAAGACCAACATATGAAAATCAGTCACATTTCTACACACCAGCATAAACAATACAAAAGGGAAATAAGGAAGGCAATTCCATTTATACAGCACCTAAAATAATTAAATACTTAGGAATAGATATAGCCAAGGAAGTGACAGACTTAGATGATGAGAACTACAAAGCATTAAAGAAATTAAAGATGTAAATAAAGCAATCTGCACATTCGTTGCAATCCCTATTAAGAGATTATAGGTAAGACAATTCTCAGATTCATATGGAATTCCAACAGACTCAAATAGCCAAAGCAATCTTGAAAGAGAATAAAACTGGAGGATTTCACTATAAAACTATAGTAATTAGGCTGGGCGTGGTGGCTCTCGACTGTAATCCCAGCACTCTGGGAGGCTGAGGTGGGAGGATCACTCAAGGTCAGGGGTTTGAGACCAGCCTGAGCAAGAGGGAGACCCCGTCTCTACTAAAAAATAGAAAGAAATTAGCTGGACAACTAAAAATATATACATAAAAATTAGCCAGGCATGGTGGTGCATGCCTGTAGTCCCAGTTACTTAGAAGGCTGGGGCAGAAGGACTGCTTGAGCCCAGGAGTTTGAAGTTGCTGTGAGCTAGGCTGACGCCATGGCACTCTAGCCCGGGCAATAGAGACTCTTGCCTCAAAATAAATAAATAAATAAAACTATAGTAATTAAAACATATTGTAATGGCATAAAGACAGGCATGAAGGCCAACACAACAGAATATTGAGCTCAGAAATAAATCCTTGCACATATGCTCGATTCATATTCAATAAGTGTACCACAATCATTCAATAAGGAAAAGTCTTTTCAACAAATGGTGCTAGAAAAACAGAACATCCACATGCAAAATAATAAATGTGGACCCTCACCTTACACTATTTCCAAATATTAATTAACTCAAAATGGCTCAAAGATCTAAACTGAATACCTAAAACTATAAAATTCTTAGAAGAAAACATAGAGAAAGAGTCACAACACTGAATTTGACAACTTCATGAATATGGCACCAAAAGCACAGGCAACAACAAAAGAAAAAACACATTGTACTTTATCAAATTAAAATCTTTGGGCAATGGATACTATCAAGACAGCCTAAAGAAAAACTACAGAATGAAATATTTGTAAATTACATAACTGATAAGGGATTAACATGCAGAATATATAATAAACTACAACGATAAAATACAACCAATTCAGAAATGAGTTTTAACATTTTACCACAATAAAATAAGTACACCCCCACCCAATGCCAAAAAACTGGCTGAATGATTCCCATTATTCACTGTAGTTATGTTCTACAAGATCACCTCAAACACTGAATTAGTGAATTTTGATGGCTCCTATGGGGAAACACAGGGTTAGATTTATTTGAGTCTTTAGTCACAACATTCTGTCACCTGTTCAATATATAACTTTGCTTTACATGTTCCTATTAAATGATACCTTATTTTACATTGTTGATTCACTAACATCAAACTCAAGGACTATAACTTGTGCCTGAACAAAGCTTATTTTTACCAATGGGTACACATCACAGCCTTCCTTTGCTTAGGAACTAGACAGCACTTTGCCCTATGTCTGAGGACCATTTTAACCAGTGAAATCAAGAAAAAGCACTGAAAATGTGGCACCATATGGACCATAAAAAGGATACCTATTTAAGGCATGATAGCTAAAACAAAAAAGGCAGAGCATAACCCTGCTTGACTTCAATTGGGAACATGTATGTTAGGTGACTCAAATTCTTTGCCACTCTGGCTATCTACAAATGACAGAAAATGCTATGCCAAGTAGTCATTTGGAGTTTACAAATACATTTTAGTGATTAGGCAAATTTGTAAGGAAGGCATGCACAAATAATTAGCATCAATTGTACTAAGGAAAGGTTAGAAATGAAAGGGTACGGCACACAAAAACTGGACTGCTCATTAACTGTGCACTTACCTTTCCAAGTAGTTTAACAAACAAAGGCCACAATTTTAATACATAAGTCTCATTTTTACTCATAAATAGCTTTTGGAGTTCTGAGATTAATTTCTGCAAACAAAAGCAAAATTATTTACTAAGTAAACTCTTAGAAAGAAAAAAAAAATCTAGTATCAAAATCTAGAAGTTTCAAAAATGGATTCCCACAGCCAAATTAACAATTTTTCCCATAATTAATACAAACACTTCCCAAGAAAACTGAAGCATACAGCAAATCTGAAAGAGTTTTACAGTAAATATTTGAATATAAACACCTAATTTTACCATTAACACTTTACTATGCTTGTCTTATAAACTATCTGGCCATCCTACCATCTATCAATCCAGCATATTTTTTCCTACCAACATACTTTACCCTAAAAACTTCAGCATGCACACCACTAACTAGAGTTCAAATAATAATCCATTAATCTTCTCACACTAATAACAAAAAAATAATATTAATAGCTTCACAGCCAACAGACGTGAGAAAATTCTAGCTCAAATACATGAAGAATTTTATATATGCTATTAAAAATGAATAAACTCATCAAAATAAAACAATTTATGAAGATATTAGAGTAGACTTGAGTTACACTCTGAACATTACCAAGGGGCCTCCTGAATTTAAAAAACAAATAAAACCCCAGGTTTTAGAATCTGGAAGGTGCCCTCACTGCCTGGATTACTGTAATATCTCCTCTAACCTGTCTCCCTGGTCCAACTATAGTCTATTCTCAATACAGCCAGTGATTTCTTCAAAACCCAAGTCATTCCATGTCACTCCTAGGCTCAAAATCTTTAAATATGGCTTTCCATATAACCCAGAGCAACAACCAAATCCTTACAACGGTCTCCCCAAGGACCCATGTATCTTTCTCTGACATCATCTCCTACTCTTCCCTCTTACCCTCACTCACTCCACTGCTGCTTTACTGCCTAATGTTTCCTGTGTATACCAACCAGGTACACAATCACAACAGCAGAGCCTTTTCCTCTCACAGTTCTCTTGTGTGGAATGAGCTTATCCCGTATTATCCACACAGCTATCTTCTATACAGCTTTCAAATCACTGTTCAAATGTCCTATTCTTTTAGCAAATCTGAGTTTTACTATATTAGAATACAAACATTTAGATTCTACTTCCCTGTCTACCTCACCATTCCTCTCTGATGGCATTCACCATCCAGTCCTTGCTGTTCTCTATAGTGTTCTTCACTTAATGCATCATATACTGTATTATTTCTCCCACTAGAAAATAAACTCCATAAGCCCCTTTTGTTCACTGCTATATTCGCAGTGCTTAGAACAATGCAATGCATATAACAAGTGCTCAATAAATACATGTTATAAGAGCAAAGGTCAGAAAACCTAAAACCTGAGGTAAGTAATAACTAGGAAATTGTATAGACTAAGTTCACGTGCATTAAATTTCTATCTATTGAGATTATACAGTTACAACCCAGACAGCACTTAATCAATTAATGCTCTCCCTTTTTTGGAAATATAATCCCATTTATGCAAAACCGGTTAAAAAAATACAATGCCTTTCTATTCCCCACTCACTGGGGATGGAATAAATGCATAGACTATAGTAATAATGAATAGACAGCTCCCCCCTTCCTTATGGTTATGTAGCAGCAATGTGCCTACATTAACTTAAGCAATTCTTTTTTTCCTGTACCACAAGACATTAATTAAGAAATTGTTTTAATTCAAAGCTAAACCCCTAGATCATAGTGCTATTATACCAATATAAGCCCAGACTGCACTTTAAGCTTAGTACATAACCCTCTGATTCAGTATCCAGAAAATCCTTAAATTAATACTTACAGTAGTCATAAGCTGCTCCGTAATAGACGCTATTTCTTGCTGTTTCTTTAGCAATAATGGCATTCCCATCTCCAGAGCAGTTGCTCCCCGCAAATGTACCTTTTGTGCTGAATGAACCACTAACGGTATGACCAGTTTTGCCCACCTCACTGACTCTTCTCCCATCTGAATTGGAGCTTGTTCAATTAGCCTACAATAGAGAAACCAATGAATAAATAGTTTGGCTTCACTTTTTAAGTCTAAACTACCAAGAAAATAAGTGACACACAGAAATATGCATAGCGTGGCCCGTTTGTTTTAGAATATATACATATATACATACACAAGAAATAGATCTAATATTTACTTGCTAATTTGTACATTTCTGTATTATTTTTATACATTTTTAAAATAAGAATACATTGTCTTGACTTCAGATTAAAAATTTTTAAACATATTCATCTCTTGGTGTCTGTGGGAGATTGGTTCCAGGACCCCAAGGATGCTCAAGTCCCTGATATAAAATGGCATAGCACAGTCATGTCCCGTAAAAGATTTTGGTTAATGACAGACTGCATTTACAACAGTGGTCCCACAAGATTATAATGGAGCTGAAAAATTCCTATTACCTAGTGACATTATAGATGTCATAAAAGTTGCAGTCAATATATTAACATTTTTGTGATGATGGTGTAAACAAACCTACTATTCTCTTTCATATAAAAGTACAGCACAATTATGCAAAGTATACAATACTTGATAATAAATGACTATGTTACCAGTTTAAGTATTTACTGTACTATACTTTTTGTTGGAGTATACTCCTACTTATATTAAAAAGTTTACTGTAAAACAGCCTAAGGCAGGCCCTTCAGAAGGTATTCCATAAGGCACTGATATCATAGAAGATGACAGCTTCACACCTGTACTGCCCCTGAAGCCTTCCAGCAGGACAACACACGGAAGACAGTAATATTGATCACCCTGACCTTGTGCAGGCCCGTGCTGATATGTATGTTTGTGCCTTATTCATTAACAAAAAAAGTCTAAAAAGCAAAAAAATATTTTTAAACAGAAAAAACTTTTAGAATGAGTATCAATAAAAAAATTATTTTTGGGCTGGGTGTGGTGGCTTATGTCTGTAATCCTAGCACTCTGGGAGGCCCAGGCTAAAGGATCGCTCAAGGTCAGGAGTTCAAAATCAGCCTGAGCAAGAGTGTGACCCCCATCTCTACTAAAAATAGAAAGAAAATTAATTGGCCAACTAAAATATATAGAAAAAATTAGCCGGGCATGGTGGTGCCTGCCTGTAGCCCCAGCCACTCAGGAGACTGAGGCAGAAGGATTGCTTGAGCCCAGGAGTTAGAGACTGCTGTGAGCTAGGCTGACACCATGGCACTCTAGCCCTGGCAACAGAGTAAGACTCTGTCTCAAAAAAAAAAAAAAAAAGAGAGAGAAAATTATTTTTGTACAGGTGTGCAATGTGTTTGTGTTTTAAGCTAAGTGTTATTACAAGTCAGAAAGAAAAACTTGTTTGTGAAGTAGTAACGTTACAGCAAGCTAAGGTTAATTTTTTATTAAAGAAAGTTTTTTTTAAATTTACTGTAGCCTAAGTGTACAGTGTTTACAAAGTCTACAGGAGTGGACACTAATGTTCTAGGCCTTCACATACACTCACAATTCATTCTTTGACTGACTCAGAGCAACTTCCAGTCCTGTGAGCTCCATGCATGGTTAAGTATCCTATACAAGTATACCACTTTTGATCTTTTATACTGTATTTACTGTACCTTTTCTATGTTTACAAGTTTATACACAAATACTTACCATTGTGTTACAACTGCCTATTCAATACAATAACATGCTGTACAGGTTTGGAGCCTAGGAGTAACAGTACTAAGTTTGTGTAAGTACACTCTGTTTCTGCAATGACAAAATCACCTAATGATGCATTTCTTAGACCATACCCCCATCATTAAGCCATGCATGACTGTATTTGCATATCACCTACACACATCCTCCCGTATACTTCGAATCATGTCTAGATTACTTATAATACCTATTACAATGTAAATGCTACATAAACAGTTGTTCTACTATATTGGTTAGGGAATGAAAAGTCTGTAATAGTCAATATTTGAGTATTTTTAATTTGCAGTTATTGAATCCAGGGATGTGGAACCTATGGATACAAAGCGCCAACTGTACTAATTATCATTACATTAAATTCAGTATTTTTATAGAAGAGAACTGTGATATAATTTCAGCATTAATCAGAACATCAGATGACTAGATAGTTAAAGCAAATAGCTCAACAACTAAAGAAAACTCTAAAGAATGAAAAACAAGGGGAAAGAGAAACCATGTCAGAGTTTGTGCTGTTAGTATGTGTTTAAGAACAGGGATGGGTAGGAAGAAAGCACTTTTCTGTTCCCTGCTGGGCACTGTAACTGCCTTCCTAAAGAACCCGTATAGTTCACTAATGGGTTTACATGATTTTTTAAACTCTTACAAAAGCTTTAACAGAGATGATTTTTTAAACGAGAACTGTGTTACCAGCAGGAACATACCCATGTTCACTTTTAAAACTGTCTCAGTAAAAATAAACTTAGCAACTTATGTGTATCTTTTTCTACCTTCCAGTTATCTTTTTTCTTAAGTCTTGTAGTCTAAGACATTCCCCACTTTTAACCTTTATGTCAAATTTAAATCCCAAAAGTCCATTCCTTGAACTAAACTCTAAATTTACTGAATCTATTCTTCTAATTTACACATCGAAATGCATACCTTATGATAACATTTAATGCTTCAAAATCAACAACAGCAGAATGCATCTCTCCTTTATTAAATAGTATTTCTAATGAATCAATTATACTGGGTACCTAAAAGACAGACCAAATAAATACAAATCAAATAGGCTTGAATTGTTTTCATTGGCACACAGTTAAGATGACACACAAAAAAACTATACTCACCATTTTGCCAATAACTTCAGCAGGAAACGTCTGCTTAGATATCACCCAAAGTGCCCTGGTACGTACATTTTTATCTGGACTCTTGACAATGTCATTCAATTTTGAAAACAGTTCTTGAATATTTGCCTCTGAAAAACAAGCAGTTTTAATATTAATTGTATAGAATAGTTTATATTCCTTAAAAATCTCAAATATAAAAGTAGAGAAAAATAGTACTCTTTAATCATAAAATTAAATATGCATATCCAAAGAGAAGGATCAAAGAATGACTGCTGACATCAAACTTTTTCCAAAACACAAAATCCAGATTTGAGGGGAAGGTATATTCAGAGAAAACAAATAGTAGACTCGAAGTAACAAATAAATAGGTATTTATGCAACTAAAATTAACTACAGGTATCATTAGTAGGTTTAAACACAGGAGATGGTTTTTGGCAAGATGCTGTAAATTCTACATCTCTGCTCCAAAATAAACTACTCCTGCTGTAGGTTGCTAACACTTCATATATAAAAAAGAACAAACAGCAACTTTTCCCTCAGAAAAAAGAAGTAGCAACTTCCTGACATCTTTATTATCTATTGTTAATTTCTCCTCTCTAAAGATCACCTCCTAGGTTTCCTTTACAACAGCAAACTACTACCTATATAGATCAACAGTTGAGACTACTTGAAAACGTTGAAAGCATCAGGTTCTATGCTTTCAGTAACACTTTTAGTCTCAAATTATCCTGCATTTACCACTATGTAAAAGAACTTTTCAATTCAGCATGTTCCTTAGTTCTTTGCTTGAAAAAAGGTTTCCATTTTTATAGCAATGTTAAAATATCCTTATTTTTTTTAAATGCCCTTATTTTTTAGAACAAATTATAGTATCAAAGTTGGAGCTACGTCTAGGTGATGATGATAATCTAAACATTATTTCTTTCTTAACCACTTCGGTACGGTGCTCACTGGCTGCGAAACCTTGCCCACAGCCAGCACTCATAGTCCACAGGATAGTTTGTACTGTGCATTGACGATGAGTCCGTTTTGCTCTTGTGTGATGAGGAAAGCTTTAAAGCACTGAAAGCTTGTTTTACTTTACAGGCAGCTTTACTTGTAATGCAAATCAGAATAGGTAACATATACATATATGTTTTTTTGTTGCCCAGGCTAGAGTGAGTGCCGTGGCGTCAGCCTAGCTCACTCTTTCCAATGAGCTGAGCAGAGATTTCCTACCATTTATAACCAAACTACTCCTTTTTGTTGTTGTTGTTGTTGCCCGCTTAGAGTGCCGTGGCATTAGCCTAGCTCACAGCAACCTCAAACTCCTGGGCTCAAGCAATCCTCCTGCCTCAGCCTCCCAAATAGCTGGAACTACAGGCATGCACCACCATGCCTGGCTAATTTTTTTCTATATATATTAGTTGGCCAATTGATTTCTTTCTATTTATAGTAGAGACAGGGTCTCGCTCTTGCTCAGGCTGGTTCCGAACTCCTGACCTTGAGCAATCCACCCGCCTAGGCCTCCCAGAGTGCTAGGATTATAGGCGTGAGCCACCATGCCCGGCTGAAATATGTTTTAAATGTTCACAATTTTATTTTGATAAATGAAAAATTAGAAAAGTTACATCACGGCTGTCGGCTACAGTCGCCGTGCGTGTTCATCTGTAGCTATCGACTATAGTCGACGCTGGTACCGAAGTGGTTAAAAGCAAAGCCTAAACTACAAGTTATGAGACTAATCCAGAGAAAACAGTACTTTCAATAGTATCAAACTATACTTTAAACTTAAGACTTTATTTTTACTCCAAAAATATTAATAGTCATAATGAATTTATCTACCTGATAATTCTGAAGTAATTTTGGGATTATATAAGCAAAACCCCAAGGCTTGTAGAGCAGCACTACTGAGCTCCGAGTTTTGACTGGAAATATGAGTCTACAAAAACAAAATTACATTACAAGCAAGTACAATTGTAAATCAATTTTTAGAAAGCAAAAGTGATTACAAAACAAGCAAATGTATTACATTTTAATCTGATCAAAAAATCATTTTGCGAATAGGCAAAAAAGGAATAAGATCACAAGCCATGTATACAGCTTGGCAAAGAAAGGAAGAGGGAACTGGATAGAGAGCAACTCAATGAAGATAAAGAACATTTCTACACTTGTGAAATCAAAGAAAAAAATCAACAGATGAAAGATGCTAATGACACTAGACATGAAAAAGGGAGCAAGGTCCCTGTACAAAGAGTTAGCAGAAAACTCAAATGCAAAAGCTGACATCATAGCTTTAGAGTGGAGTGTGACTTCTTCCTCTAAGATTGGGAGAGTGAAGTGGTTGGAATGTAACATTAACTAAGTATCTAATATTTGCTACCTTCCAACATTATCTCAATATTAAAGTAAAATATTTTTTAAATCCCTACTTTATAGATAAGAGAATTTTAATCCATGTTAATCTAGAATCCAAAGCCCAACTCCTACTATGTATGTAAAAGGTATAAAAGCCCAAACCTGTCAAATGGAGCCTGAATATATTCCTTGATGTTTACTTGTAACCCTGTGCTCTTTCCTTGTACCATTTTCGACTCCAAAGTTATTTATTTTCAAAATCCCCCATATCTCTTTGAATCAAATATCCAAGGAATCCGTCATTGTTATTTTTGAACAGGGAGAATAGGAAATGCTAGTAGTTAAATATATTAGTAGACACCTCCCTGGGGCACTCTAAAACCAAACCAAAAAACAAAACCCTCTGGTCTAAGAGATATAGCATAACAACCAGTTGTATGCAACTGAATAAGGCTTAAGACTTTGATTATTGTATCTCCTGGATAATAGCTAGCATATGTCTGTGATCACTTTTATTAAACATATCTGCTTGAAAGTATTCCTTAAAAATGGTATGTTTTATCTTCAAAAATGTGGGTTCCTATACACAATCCTAGCTGAATTCCAAACAGCAACATAGAAACATGTTCTATTTTACCTAGTGTGCTTTCTGTTCTGAAGGAATTCCAATTATCCTCTCATAATTATTCCCATGGAAAACTTCTCTTGATTGTCCTACTGTCGACCTTCCATGTGCATCCAAATAATAATTCATTAGGAATTTTAGTTACAAACCATATTTACAAAGAGTGCAACTTGACTCAAAATCCATGCACTAGGGTTCCTGATCTTATAAATACTATAAGATGCATGTCTTTAACACATCATATTGCTGGAAGGTGGAATGATAATGAAGAAAATGGAATAAACAATGCCATTAATATTATTTAATAATACTATTACGTAACTACCACAAAATAAACTGCCTGCTCACATAAACAAAAAATGTTAACAACTATGACAACAATACTTAAGGTAGGCAGTATCCCAAATGCTTTAACACTGAGCTAGAAATCATGCTAAAATGTACAATATTTGTTTTAAAAGCACAAAAACAAGGTCATAAAAATAAGAACTCAAAGGGAGACTTAGTTTAACCTTTTCATTCTAAAACCTAGGAAATCAAAAAGTTAGGTGTTAAGTCCAGAAGCCATAGTCATCAAGTGAGGACAAAAGCAGGTCTTTAGTTTGATACATCACCTCCCTATAAACAAGCAAAAATGGTAACATAATAATGACTAATGGCTAAGGCAAAAACTGAGGGTGAAGGAAGATTGAGTGAAAAAAAAGATACTTCTGCTACCTACAGAGTAGACCAAAGACAATTATAATTTTAGAAGCATTGACTTAGAAGTACATTCCCAAAAGGAAAGAAAACAAATTAAATAATCTCTGATTACTGCTTTCAAGAACACAGGCTTTGGATTCAAGTGGCCTTGGGCAACTTTAGGCAAATTAAACCAATTTCTTCATCTGCAAAGTGGAAATTAAAGAATAATCTTATGGAGATATGGAGAATTAAGTGAAAGAAAGCATGTAAGGCAATTAAGACCCTACCTGAGAAGTTTTAAGGAATCAATACATGGTATTATAATCAGTCAGTATCATTGCTGTTATTTTATTTTAGATTCAAATTTTTTTAGTCAGCTGGTAAAACTTTTTAAAACCACCAAAAGTGAAAAACTATTTAATAAACAGATACATACTTTTAAAAGTTTGTACAGCCGAAGAAGTTTTTTCTCAATTTCTATAATTACTTCTTTTCCTTCTTCTCCAGTCATACGACTTAAAAAAGCAGAAAGAACACAAGTTTATGCAGTGGCAGAAACAAAAAATACTGTACTCACTCCTTAAAATGCCTGCATTTTCTTTTTCAAGATTACTGTCGAACTCTTCTAAATGAACTGACCCAGTCTGCATGGTACGTATGGATATGTAGAACATATAATGCAATATATGTCAAAAATAAATGCGAAAAAAACCCTCAGAATACCTTTATGCATCCAGCTTATGCAAGTCTTGACAGTTTATGTAAAGACGGGAGAGGGATCTCTATCCATAGTTACAAATTTACTAACGACTTACGAAAGCTTCACAAAAGACTGCATAAAGTAGTAAATTTCTACAGAATATATTTTGAAGCATTTTGCAACTAAAAATGTTATTACTCTACTAAAACATCAATTCTGGGTGGCCCCATTTTACCAACACATCAGGGGTTTACACTGAAAAACACCCCTACAACCGCTTCCAACCAGCACTTTTAAAAATAATCTCCATGAGATTATTTTTTAAATCCCTCGTTTGCCAAGACACACGTGCAGGCTCCCTCCTTGCAAACAAACACCTTAAGCACCCAGCAGCAGCCGGGAACGTCACTTAGCATGTACCTCCCCAGCCCCCCAACTCGTCCAGGACGCTGGCGACCCCACATTTGCGCCAGACTGCCAGAATTCACACTTATTGAGCACGCCCCATCAAACCTATCTTCTTTCTCCCCACACCCAACCGGGTCCCCCTCCGCGGGCCTCACCTGGTCAGAGTCAGGTAAGCGTCAGTCTGCTCTCCATGGGAGGCGGAAGGGTCTTCCAAAGTCTCCAACAGCGGCGCGAGGGGGCCCTGACCCCTGGCCGTCATGTCGCCCACCCTAAGGCCCGGACCGGAAGAGAAGAAAACCCGGTGACCGACAGAAACAGCCCCGCGGCGGCCCAGCGTGAGTCCGGCCCCGACACCCGCACGCCCGCCCGCGGCCTCGCAGCCACGCCGCGTCTACACCCCGGGCACCTGGCGCACAAACTCAAGCCCTAACCTTGTCTTAGGCCGGGCAACACACACCTGGGCCCACACTGCGCTCGGGCCTGGGCCCGCTCCCGCCACCACTTTCCCGGGCAGCTTTCAACAGAGGGAGGAGACCGGCTGGGGGCGGGAGAAGCCCGCGGAGCGAGGCGTCTCGTCGCGAGGGGGCGGAGGTTGCGGCAGACGAAGGGGTCCCCGCAGCCTACCACTGTGTCCCGGATACTTATCCCCACGTACAAAGGTCGGATCAGGGTCCTCTCTACCGCTGCCCCTCCGCACCCGGACGCTGCCGGAGCTCCACTTTTCCCGGCTCGGGCTGTTTACTCACGCGTGCAGCCCGCTCCCTCCTAGACCAAGATGGCGGCGGGGGCGGGCCCAGGAGCGCGCGGGAGTGGGACAGGCCTGGCGGGAGAGGCTCGAGCCAATCCAACAGGCAGCGGCGTGCCGGAGTTATCGATGGCCTCCCAACCTTGCCGGGTTATCCCGCCCCGCCTCTTGGGTCACCTTCAGGTGCTTTGCCTAAGGCGAAGGGCTTGAAATTCACAATGTGAGTTAATTGCTTAAATTCACCAGATCTAATTTAGTGGGCCTTCACACTAAGTTTTCAAACTCTAAGCCCAGTGCTTATTGAAGTACAGCAACAAATCATTTAGCAAAAGGACAAAATGTACTCTTAGGTGAAAGACTAAGAGCCTTATCTCAAGCAGGTCTAGATTCCAACTCTGGTTCTGTGTGACCTCAGCAAGTTAACCATTCTATGCCTCAATTTCCTTCTCTGGGAGGGCTAATAGAACCTATTTCAGGTGTAGGTGAAGTGAGAAAAGATGAGTCCAGTGGTTCTCAAGTTTTAACCATACATAACAATGGCCTGGGAAGTTTGGTGATTAAGCTGCAGATTTCAGGGCCCGCCCTTAAAACACTGTGATTCAGTAGATTTAGGTAGCTCCCAAGGATCTGCATTCTTCTATTAGGCCCCCGGATGTTGAAGGTTGGGGTTTGGCTTGGGCGTCTTAGGTGTAAAAATGAACCATGTCCAAGTAAACTCCTGAGACAGTCATTTCTATTTAATATGCTGCTCCCCTTTTCATGTGCATATAAGTGCTCTCAGGCAGCAGACAGGGTTGTGTCAACTTCAAACCAGGCATTTAAGGCCCAGCAGTGTTGGAACTTTCCACACTGGCCTCATGTGTTCCTGACTCTAGTTTTAATCTCCCACCTACATATAGTACAACTATTAGCCCTACAAGCTGGGGCTGCTTTTTGCTCTTGTCTATATCATCTGCACTTAGCAAAAAGTCTGTCAAGCCAAGCATTCAATATATAGTATGTTTCTTGAACAAAAACATGAATGCAGAGAGAGAGAACGGGAGACATACAAGGTCTTGTGAGCCAAAGTATGGAAATTAAAAGCTTAAAAATGGGCTGGGCATGGTGGCTCACACCTGTAAGCCTGTAATCCTAGCACTCTGGGAGGCCCAGGCTAAAGGATCGCTCAAGGTCAGGAGTTTGAAACCAGCCTGAACAAGAGCGAATCTCTGTCTCCACTAAAAATAGAAAGAAATTAATCAGCCAACTACAAAAAAAAAAAAAATATATATATATATATATAAATTAGCTGGGCATAGTGGCGCATGCCTGTAGTCCCAGCTACTTGGGAGGCTGAGGCAGAAGGATTGCTTGAGCCCGGGGGTTTGAGGTTGCTGTGAGCTAGGCTGACGCCATGGCACTCAAGCTTGGGCAACAGAGAGAGACTCTGTCTCAAAAAAATAAAAAATAATAATAATAATAATAATAAAAGCTTAAAAATGGTAAAGAGTTGTGGCTGGGTGAAATATGAAAAGCCTATGGAAGTAACCACTGAGAAGAGTTTTCAATGCAGCCTGTTCAAATGTTCTTTAACCTTCAGAGGGAAATTTGCGCCTTCTTTTGGGAAATCAACACAGATATTGAAGAAGCACAAGTTATTAGACAATGAATGAAATAAATGAACACATTTGCAACATTTAGATTTCAGTATAATGGTGCTGTTATGTTGGATATCGAGAGCATCTTGAAACTCAATTACATTGTATGATGAGATTAGTAGAAAGAACAGTGAGCTTGTTTCTATCCAATCATTATGTTCCCTACTCCACTTTAAAATTGTTCTTTCTAGCACTTATCACTACCTGATGTTATATATCTGTTTTTTATTGTTTGCCTCTCCCCACTAGAATATAAATTCTATAAGGGTAGGGATTTTGCCTTATTCATTTTTTCCCCTTAATTTCTCATTTATAGAGAAAGAGCTGGGGGTGGTCATGTTACTTCTTTCGTAGGTATGGTTCCTTGATCTTACCAAAATGTTATATAATATCTTATTAGTCTCACTTCTGTGCCTAAAATCCTCCAGCAATTCCTATCAATTGCAGGATGAATTTTAAAACTGTTAGCATAACATGCAAGCCTATTATGTCCCCCTCATCTCCAGCTTTAACCCCACTTCCTCATGTTCTGAACAGTTTGCCAGAATCTCTTAATCTCTATGTCTTTGAAGATTCCTTGTATTTAGAACATTTTCCAAGAGTGATAAATAATAGTCAACTAAAATCACACCTTTTTATGAAATCCTTCCCTCATCTACTCTTCCACTACATACATTCCCCCCAAAGAGAATTAAATGCTCGTGTCTTCATGCTATAGATCTGTTAAAATGAGTATCTCATTAATTTATTATTGTTTGGTTATAGAAATCTGCAACTTGGCAGAGTTGAGGGTTAGCCTGAGAGGAATTAATTCTATCCATAATCTCAGTCAGTGCCCCTCTCTGCTCTTTGATATTTTCTCAATCTGATCTAAAACATTAAGAGATTGAAGTGTCAAAACAAATCCCCTTCCTCACCCAACCCCACTCCACACACTGTTCCAACTTGATTGCTCCCTAAAACTTCTCTTGTATAGAAACTTTGGAGCTACCACTGTGGATCTGTTCCCACTGGGCAATAAATTCATAGTACTTTCCAAGAATGCCAGAAGCTGAAAAAAAAAAAATTCATAGTACCTGGCACTCAATAAATGTAATTTGAATTAATCTGTTCTGTATCTTGAAATCAGTATGTCAAAGATTTGTCTGCATTCCCATGTGCATTGCAGCACTATTCCAAATAGTAAAGTTATAGAATCAACCTAAGTTATCTGTGAACAGATAAAGGTATAAAGGAAATGTGGTATATATACACAATGGAATATTAATCTTAAAAAAGACGAAAACTCTTGTCATTAGGCTAAGTGAAATAAGCCAGGCCTTATTAGAAAGACAAATACCATATTTTCTCACTTATATGCGGAATCTAAAACTATCAGACTGATTCAAACTATTTCCTACCAAAGTATCTAAAAAGTAAAAGAAAAATAAAAAAAAATAAAAATATAACTATCAGACTGGTAAAAGCAGACAGTAGAATGGTGAATACAAGAGACAGGGGTGGGGAGATGATGGTCAAAGGGTACAAAACCTCAGGCAGGAGGATTTGGTGTGCTTTTGAGCTCCATTGCACAGCATGATGAATACAGTTAATAACAATGTATTGTACCTTCCAAAATTGCTAAGAGAGTAAATTTCAAATATTCTTACCACAAAAAATGATAAGTATTTGAGATGATGGATATGTTAATTAGCTTGATTCAATTATTCCATATTGTAGCCACAAATTGTAATATCACTTTGTACCTTGTAAATATATACAATTATAATTTGTCAGGACAGGTGCAGTGGCTCATGCCTATAATCATTCCAACATCTTGGGAGGCCAATGCAGGAGGATCACTTGAGGGGAGGAGTTCGAAACCAGCATGGGCAACATAACCAGACCCTGTCTCTACAAAAAATAAAAATTAGCCAGGCATGGCGGTGTGCACCTATAGCCCTAGCTATTTGGAGGCTGAAGCAGAAGGATCACTGGAGCCCAGGACTTGGAGGTTACAGTGAGCTCTGATCATGACACTGCACTTCAGCCTGAGTGACAGAGAGAGAGACCCTGTCTCTACATAAATAAATAAATAAATAAAATTTCAATTTGCAATAAAATTTTTACACAACCACACACTCACACATACACACACTAATAGCACACTACTGACAAATACTGCACAGTAGCAGTTTGAGAGGACTTTATTTTCTAAGCTATGATTTATGTGTAATGGGAAAAATACCTTTGAAATCCCATGACATGATGTAAATTTGTGTTCTGTTCATTTTTTTCCTTTTCTATTTGACAATCCATCAACAATATTTATGTGCTGCTCACAGTAGGTGAGGTGAATGTTTTATGAGAAATTTTGAGCCATAAATAATTTCTTATTCACTCTAGTACTCATGGTTGCAAATATTATCCAAGAATGATTCTTTACTTCAGTAAAATAACAAATAGTAAATACCAAAAAAATATTATGGATTATAAGGATTCTGAGAGACACATGAAACATTACCCAACATGATAACTATTTCACTGGCTTTAAAGAAAGTCACACTTTGAGGTCTTGTTTAGCTTTTTAATTTTAACCCTGAGTTGCTGAAAGATCCACTGATGGACTTTTCAACAGGTAAAAAAATGAAAAAAAAAATCTTTAAGGTTATTTTATCCCATCACTAGTTCATATTGCCATAAATACACACAGCTAATAACGTGTCTTATGACTAGCATGAAATTTGCTACCCTTACATTCAGACTTATTTCACAATGTTATCAAATTATATTAACCAAGTGGAGCTACTGTGGTCTCCCCAACACTGTAGTATCAGTCCTGTCCGTGGCGTGTTAGGAATCAGGCAGCAGAGCAGGAGGTGAACAATGGAGAGGGAGCAGTAGCTTCATCTTGTATTTACAGCCATTGCTTGCATCACCACCTAAGCTCCGCCTCCTGTAGGATCAGCAGTGGCATTAGATTCTCTTAGGAGCGCGAACCCTACGGTAAACTGTGCTCACGAGGGATCTAGGTTGTGCGCTCCTTATGAACATCTAATGCCTGATGATCAGAGGTGGAGCTGAGGCGGTGATGTTAGCCCTGGAGAGCAACTGCAAATACAGATTATCATTAGCACAGAGGTTTGACTGCACAACAAATGCAGTGCTTGAATCATCCTGAACCTGGTGCCTCGTGCCAAAAAGGTTGGGAACCACTGTTTTAACAGACTGAGGACTTATCTGGACAAA